GCCTGAATGCAGACCAAAGTGTCTTTTGCAGTTTGTGATCGGTCTTGGAGTTTGTTTAGGTTTCCTTCCATTTCCTGCAGAAGGATTTCGCTCTCTTCCTTTAATTGATGAATTAGCATTTTCTCCTTGGTGTGAAGAAACTGGTGCAGCTTTAGGAACTCCAAGGAGATATGGTACTGGAGCTGTAATTTGTTTTCCTGAAAATTAAAGAGAGAGAGAGAGAGGGAGGGAGGGAGGGAGGGAGGGAGAGAGAGAGATTGAAAATAAAGTCCATGCAATTAACGGACGCTAGTGATATGGATTCTGATTGTTGATCTGTTATTTACCATGGGACAATAATTACACCGTAAATGAGCTTTTGCAACATTGCTTTTGACTTATTTCCTCTTTTTAATAATGGCTACCAAGAAAGAAAAATGATTCTGATTTTACTGGCTTGCAGTATATTTATTTGGGTTCAAAATGGGGGGGGGAGGATAAATATGTTGCAAGAAAAGAAAAGCTTCAGAAGAAAACAGAATGTTTAATTCAACAACATATGCTAGTTTTGTGGCCACTCAAGAAATAGTCAGGCACGGGAAGAGTTTTGTGGCTCCCGGTGTTTTCTTTTCTGTGGGAAACAGGTCCAGATGGCTCTTTGAGTGTTTAAGGTTACAGACCCCTGGCTTTGGAGAATAGGTTGACCCCCTCTTTGTGGCAGCCCCTCAAATATTGGGACACACTGCTATCATTCATACTCACTTTACGCATGCATACTCACTTTATGACTAGATATTTTCTCCTCCTGAGCATTCTTCAACACCTCCAGTTTTACCAGGATAGACCTGAGCTGAAGTCTCAACGTGAGTAGCCTTTCCTGTAGACATAATGGGAAGTTACAGCTCCAGATTAACTAGATTAAAAAGCAACTTCTCTCAGCCCCAAATCCTTAGCCTTCTAAAGTGGGTCATCATCCTTGAAACGTGGGTCATTTCGAACAGAACCCAAGTGTTGTTTTTTTTTAAACTCAACAAGTTTAAGTGGTGTGGACTTCAATTCCCACAATTCCAGAGCCAACATGCTGTCTGCGGAATTCTGGGAGTTGAAGTCCACACCGCTTAAAGTTACAGGGCTTGAGAAATACTGCAAAACATTAAGAGGGGAATCTGCTGGAACAGGAGTCTCCAACCTTGGCAACTTGAAGCCTGGCGGACTTCAACTCCCAGAATTCTTCAGCCAGTAAAACTGGCTGAGGAATTCTGGGAGTTGAAGTCCTCCAGGCTTCAAGTTGCCAAGGTTGGAGACCCCTGTGCTGGAACATCTAAAGGGCCTTTGACTGGGTCACAGGACCATTTGTGATATCAGGTTTCAGCACGTCATTTACCGTATATATCTGCACTGCATCAGGGATGAGGAGAAACTGAGTACATTGGTCTTTGGGCATCTGAGCTTCTCGGCAGGTGAAGCAAGCTAATTTCCCTTGGGGTTTCCAGTAGAGGGTCAGTGGTTCTCCATGCTCCATGCATTTCTGCTGTTGGCCTCCCACGTGAAAAGTCTTAATCTTCTCCGCCATCTTTTCCAAGGCTTGGTTGATTATGAACTTGCGGTCAGGAACATTGACGTGACATTCTGGGCAGAAAACGCCGTTTCTATTCCAGATGGCCTCCAGGCAAGGTTTGCAGAAGTTATGGCCGCAAGGTAGAATGACCGGCTCTTTAAACAGTTCGAGGCAAAGAGAACAGGACAACTCCTTGGTGAAGTCATCTGCATTCAGGTCCCACGAGGTGTTTGACGAGCTGGCAAGAATCGGGCTCACTGCTCGATCGTTTAGGGAAATGAGCGAGGAAGAGGACGGATTTTTGCTGGTGGAAGTGGACATTGTACTGGAAAGAGCAAACACTAAAGCAACAATCAGAAGTAGGGAAGAAAGCATGCATGAGAACGATGGTCTTAAATGACAACGGTTGGATTAGTAGATCATCTACCTGGGGTCACCTCCAAATCCATCACTGAAGGAATCTACGATCCTTAACCAAAATAAAATTGATTATCTGATGAATTCGCTAGATTCATTTCAGCTAGAATTGTTGGATATGAGATGAGAGGTAACTCAATTTAATAGATGATGGATGGATGGATGGATGGATGGATGGATGGATGGATGGATGGACGGATGGATAGACAGACAGATAAGAGAGAGAGAGAGAAGGATGGATGGATGGATGGATGGATGGACGGACTGACAGACAGACAGACAGACAGACAGACAGATAATAGAGAGAGAGAGAAAGATAGATGATTGAGAGAGAGAGAGAGAAACAGAGAGAAAGGGAGGGGGAGGGAGGGAGATAGATTCAACAATAGGTAAAATTAGTTTTGCCAATTCTAAAACTCTAGATATGTTGGAGTATAATTCCCAGGGTTGGTTGGTTGGTTGGTTAGTTAGTTAGTTACTTAGTTAGTTAGTTTGTTATGTATTTATTTATTTATTAGATTTATATTGCTGCCTATTCGCCCATGGCGACTCAGTTAAGTCCTTCTGATGATAATCCTGAGAGATAGTACATCCACCCAACCTTACCAAAGTGGTCAATTGAGGAAGGCTGATGTTTGCTGTCCCCTTTTAAATTCTCATGCCTGGTTTGTTTGTTTTTTAATGATTGAAAAACCCGCAGCCCAATTAAACAAAGTCACCTTTATAAACCATCAAAAGGTTTCACTTGTAAATTTGGCCAGTTGATTGGCTACATATTACAAATGGGAATAATATAGCCAGAGTTACTCTATTAGTCCTTCAGTGTCCCAATGTTATAAAAAAAAAACACACATACACCAATGCCAGTATTTAAGAATGACAGGATGTTCCCAGGATGCAAGATGCTGACCTTGATATGGAAGTGAAGTAGTCCCTTCATGTGGGGTTTAAAATTTACTTTGGACCAGCATTCCCCCACCGGGAGATCTTTAGATGTGTTGGGCTGCCTAATTCTCATGATCTTCAGCCATTTTAAAACTTCAGTGACAGAGCTTGGATGATTCAGGTGACTTATAAGTTACAGTGGTTACCTTGGCACTCATCATTCATTCCGTGTGATGAGTACTAAAAATGATGAGTCCCAAGCAAATCATGTGACTTATCACGTGATCCTTTATTTCGTCCAGAAGGGGTAGTGAGTCACGAGACAGCCGACATCAATAAATTCTACCTTACGTATCAAATATCAGGAGAAATGACAAGTACCGGGACAACATTTTCACTTCAAAACGCATCACATACCAAATTCAACAAGTTTTGAAGCAGTCATATACCAAGGTATGACTATAAACAAATAATATTGTGTTTCCCCGAAAATAAGACCGTCTTATACTTTTTTGAACCCTGAAATCAGCGCTTGGCCTAATTGCCATGCGCTCAAAAGCCTGATTGGGCTTATTAGCAGGGGATGCCTTATTTTGGGGAAAACAGGGTAGCTATATCATCTATCTATCATCTATCTTCCATCTAATTATCTATCTATCTAATTATCTATCTATCTATCTATCTATCTATCTATCTATCTATCTATCTATTCATCTATCCAATGGTGGGATTCAAATAATTTAACAACCGGTTCTCTGCCCTAATGATTTCTTCCAACAACCAGTTCACCAAACTGCTCAGAAAGTTAAGAACTAGTTCTCCCAAAGTGGTGCAAACTGGCTGAATCCCACCACTGCATCGATCTATTATCTCTCTCTCTCTCTCTCTCTCTCTCTGTCTCTATCTATCTATCATCTACCTAATCTATATCTGTCTGTCTGTCTATCTCCCTGCTTGTCTATTTACCGTGTTTCCTCAAAAATAAGACCCTGTCTTATATTTTTTTGAACCCTGAAATCAGCGCTTGGTCTTATTGCCATGCGCTCAAAAGTCTGAATGGGCTTATTATCAGGGGATGTCTTATTTTGGGGCAAACAGGGTAGCAACAACAACAATCTTCACACATGTGGACACCAGGTAGGAAAAGTTGCATTAGAAGACCTGGTGAGCCCGGCTTCCAATTTCCACCCATTTCTACAATGATCTATCATTTATAGCATTTCAAGGAATTCACCTATTTTGCAGAATAAAGTCTTTGCATTATTGTTCAGAGGAAACTTTGGTTCTTTGCCCACGTTCCTCACTAACCTGCTTTCAACCTGCTTTCAAGTGTCCTGCCTTGTAACTGCCACTCTCCAACTGTCTTCTTCTTCCAGAAGATTCCATTGGCTTCCTATGAAATGATTTAGTCTCAAACCTCTTCATGAAGCTCTCAAGAGCAAGAACAAACTGAGTAACAGCTGTCAAACGGCCCTTATTTTATTCTTTCCTTGGCACTGCTTTCCAAACTGATTGTAATCCAATATTCCCAGAGGCACAAATTTGACACCTCTTTTTTTTTTATAATTTTACATCAGGAAAAAAAGCCCTCCTCAAATCTTGTGAAACCGTTATGATTTTGAGGCATTTATTTATAAACTAAATACCACTAGGATTATTTACTGACAAAAAAAATTCCTCATACAATGAAACTCTGAGAAATATCGTTGCTAAATTATTGTCTGTGCAACCTATTTCGTCAGCTGTTAAAGGCCTAAACATGTGCTGTGTGCTAAATTTAGCTGAGAATGTTGGCCAGATCTCATGTAGCTTATGTTGGCTTCCCCGACCCCCTTTTTCCCATCTCAATGATTTTTAAAAACTGAATATTGTTTTAATGTATTGGTTAAGAGCCATGGTGGTGCAGTGGTTAGAATGCAGTATTGCAGGCTAATTCTGCTGACTACCAGCTACCAGCAATTTAACTCAAACTTGCATCTTTCCGAAGTGGGTAAAATGAGGACCCAAACCACTTAGAGAGGGCTGCAAAGCACTGTAAAGCGGTATATAAGTCTAAGTGCTATTGCTATTACTACCGGTATGTAGCCTAATGTTTTATTGTAAACTACTTTTGAGATGCTTCACTCAACCATTCAAAGCCACAAAGAACTTCCAAAGAAAACATTGTTAGACAACTTTTATTGAGGGTTATGTGTACATTAATGGAGGAAAGCAAAAGGGACTTACACGTTAGGTAAAACTATCAACTGAGCTAGCCTATCAGGTAGCAGTTTATAAAAGGAAACTCTTAATTATCATTTTTAGAAAATTCAGTTTTTTCCATTCTTATCTCCACAATAACACAAGAAAATACTCTTAACTCCTAAAAGATTTAACATAGCAGTAAAGCAAAAGTGATGACTTTTTCACACTCAGATTAATTAACTGATTGATTAGTCAGTCATATTTAAGAACTGCCTCTCTCCCTCATAGAATAGACTCTATGAGTGATTATATTTATGATGGTAACTCTATATGGACCATGACTCTAAATATAGAAAACATTTTATAAAATCATGATGCCTCAAATGCTGATTTATATAAAGATGTGATGTCTATCTTTGATCTTTTCTTGAAAACGCATTGCTTTAAAAAGTTGAATTTGGAGCTCTTCAGTCATTGATAAGCAGAAACAGCATTTGAAGTAAATTCAAAAAGATCAGCAGCCGAAATAGTAGTTTAAAGCATCATTCATCAAATCTGGAAAAAAAAAGGATTATTTTTACATTAAAAAAAAACCCAAGAAATGTGGTACAGTACACTCTAGGCTGGATTGGAAAGCCAAATAAATTGTTTTTATTTGCATCTGTGTTTGAGCCTCTCTTAACAGGGCTATATTGAAAATATAAAAACATGCAAATATAGGGAAAGTACTTTTAAAAGTATTGCAAGAGTTGTTCAGGGTTCTTGTTAAGGATTGCAAAAGATGGTGCAAGGCAGTGATGAAATGTAAAATTTGTTACTACCGGTTCTGTGGCCGTGGCTTGGTGGTGGGGTAATGTGACTGGGTAGCATTTTTTTAACTTTTTTTTTTAACTTTTAAAAGCATTTTTTCTACAACCTCTTCAACCTCTTTCTTTGGGTAAGGACACATGACTGATGAAGCTTCCTGGATGGGAAGCGAAACATCTCAGATTAACAGACGTTGATCTAGTTGCCACGTTTTAATCTTTCGAGGCACATGAACCAGAGGTGGTATTCAGCCGGTTTGTGCAAACCATTGGCAGAAATTTGGCCAAGGTCACCAAACCTTGGTAGTACAGTGGTCTAAGGCACCCTGTTATTAAGCTGGTTATTAAGACCAGCTGCCTGCAATTACTGCAGGTTCGAATCTCGCCAAGGCTCAAGGTTGACTCAGCCTTCCATCCTTTCTAAGGTAGGTAAATTGAGGACCCAGTTGTGGGGGCAATAAGCTGACTTTGTATAAATATACAAAAGGATGAAGGCTATTGCTTAGCGCATTGTAAGCCGCCCTGAGTCTCCGGAGAAGGGCGGCATATAAATCAAATAAAAAAAAAATTAAAAAAAAATAATTAAAAATAATTAAAAAAAAAACCGGTAGCGATGGCCAGCTGGCCACGCCCCCAAACTGGTCCCTTGTTGTCCACCCCGGCCGCCATGTTTGTCTCCATGTTCTTCGCACACGCGCATCCCATTGCCTTGCAAGTCCAATGGGTTGCGCATGTGTGAAGAACATGGCGGCAACAGCAGTTTTTTCCGCCGGTACTTTTCGGCAGCTTGTGGCCAGCCACCTCCTCTTTGCCAGCCGCTTTCCAGCAGTGGCGGCTGGCTGGGGGCCGTCAAAAACACCGGTCAGCTTGCCTTCTAGACTATGGACCAGCCACCGCAGAAGGTAAGCAGCCCAAACAAAGAGGTGGGGGGGAGGAAGTGGGGCTAGGGCTGGGGCCGCTAAAGGAAGGGAAATGGGGGTAACTGGCGAAGGGAGGGCGGGGATAGATAGGTGGAAATTCCAAAAAAATTTCTATCTTTTCCTGTGGGCATGGCTAGCTGGGGGGGGGGCGGTTTTACAGTATTATCACCATGATGGCGAACCTATAGCGTGCTAGTCTTCCGGTTTCCAGCACGCATGAAGATCAGCTGGCCAGCGCACACGCACACCAGCCAGGTTTTTGGGCTCTGACGCATGTGCATGCATGTGGATTCCAGTTTTGGCACTCAGTGCCAAAAAGGTTCACTGTCACTGGTATATCATATGGATTCTGCACACACATGCACACTGTGAGGGCTCCAACCCTTTGGAATGAACTGCCCCCTGAGATACGGAATATCCCCGATCTCCGTGCTTTCCGCCGTGCCCTCAAGACCCTGATGTTCCAACAGGCGGGGCTAAACATATGAACATGTGAATGATTTTTTTTTAAATGTTATCTAATTCTGGGTTTTATTTAATTGACCAAACTAAGTAATAATTTTAATTAGCAATTTTATGATGTTTGTGTGTCTATATTTTTCTTGACTGTACACCGCCTTGAGTCCTACGGGAGAAAGGCGGTATAGAAATATAATAAATAAAATAAATAAAATAAATATACATGCATGCTGGCAGGGGAATTCTGGGAGTTGAAGTCCACACGTCTTAAAGTAGCCAAGTTTGAGAAACACTGGTTTGAAATATCTGCCGAACTGCGTTGGTTTCACTTTGCTTACTGCTTTGTCTTTTGTGACAGCAAGCTGATCTTTTACTTCCAGAGTATTAATACAACACATTAAAATAATACACACACTTTCGTATTTCCTGTGAAGTGAAACAGCCATCTCTTACCTTATTTGCTGGCGATTACTGGATCAGTAATCCTGCTCTGTGGAACATAAAGAGAATAAACTTTCAGCACATATTTCTTCAAATATATAACAAATCATTCAGGGCCTACAGATGCTAAGTTAATTCTTTGCTAGTGCTTTGCATGCTCAACATGAAATACACCTCCTAATTTTATTTTTATTTTTTGTCTTAAATGGTTAAAAACAAACCTTTCTGGTAGCATTTTCTATCAAGGCTTTTTTAGAATGAGTTAGTATTTTTCAGAGGAACCTCAAGAGAAATCGTCTTAAAGAAAAGAAAGTGATGGGAAAGGGAAGGCTAGAACAGAATCCGGCAGTAGCATATAGATCCACAGCAGATCTGTAACAGATTCCATGATGTTTACAAGTGAACTGCCCAAAATGGTTGGAAATTGGGCAGTGTACTAACGTAATCCGTAATAATAAAAACAATCAACAATCTTGCTGGCCGGCGCGCATGCACATTCTGGAAACCAGAAGTACATTTTCTCTTGAGGTTCTTCTGAAAAGAGGAAAAGACTTCTGGTTACTGCCATGCACGCGCACGCACCGATCAGCTGGCCGCCGCTCATACTCACGCCAGAAAACGGAAGACCAGCTCTTCCGGTTTCCGGCACTGCTGCGCGCACAAAGTCCAGTTGATCATCCCGTTCACATGCGTGCCAGAAACCCAGAAGAGGAACGGGCAACGGCGCACGTGCCAGGCAACATGGCTCCATGTGCCACTTCGGGCACGCGTGCCATAGGTTTGCCATCACTGGACTAGGACGTCTTAACTATTCCTGTTTCAAATGGAGGAAGGATGGGGAGGGGGAAGAAGAAACGGAATAGAAAGCCAAGTCAAAGTAGTTACCCCATTTCATGATCTTGGGTTCCTTGAGTGCCTGGTGGCTCACTCTGCAGGAATATTCATCTTTTCCATTGGGAACCACCGAAACGTAAGTCAGAAGCTGGAAGGTCCAGTCTTCCTTGAAAGAGAGGTCGGACTGCTTGACTTCGGGTATTTCAACATTATTCTTCAGAAGGGTAACGTTGATTTTTGGAGGGTGGAAACCCTCCACAAAGCAGTGCAGAACATTCTCCTTGCCAATGGATATAGGATGGCGGGAATACACTTGCACCGAAGGAGCTTCTAAAGGTTGGGGGGAAATGCAGAAATGAATAGATTAACTTTGATGTTTAAAGATAAGGAGGAATCAGAATATTTTAACACATGGAATTATTTTTATAGTTGGTTGGAAAAGAGATATAAAGGGCTGATACTAGTGTACAAATGATGACTATAATATTGATTTAGAAATGAAACGTTAGAATGGCTTGGATGAATATGAAGATAGAAGAAACTTATGGAAGATGGAGAAGAAGCCTAGAAGATAACACCGAGGTGTCACAGGGAAGGGAGGATTGATGTATTAAATGTTTGTTTGTCTTAAAAAATAAAAAAATTTTTTTTACCAAGGTTGATGGGGGGGGGGGGAGAAAAAACACAAGAGAAGATGTTGTAAATCCAGGTCCATCTGGCCCATATTTTCTCCACCATGCCCACAGGGCCTTGATTAAATCGTGATTTAAATCGACTTGATTTAAATCAAATTCACCCTGAGATCATGTGACCGCAGAACGCTGCCATCATTGTAATGGCGATCACATCCCCACCTCAAATTCTGGGAAGAGCCTTGGTAGTACAGTGGTTTAAAGCACCCTGTTATTAACACAGCTGCCTGCAATTACTGCAGGTTCGAATCTTATCAGGCTCAAGGTTGACTCAGCCTTCCATCCTTTCTAAGGTAGGTGAAATGAGGACCCGGTTTGTGGGGGCAATAAGCTGACTTTGTATAAATATACAAAAGGATGAAGGCTATTGCTTAGCGCATTGTAAGCCGCCCTGAGTCTCCGGAGAAGGGCGGCATATAAATCAAATTAAAAAAAAAAAAAGACAAAGAATAAATAAAAGTATGACATACATTTTAGGGCAGATTTTTTTTACCCCAACTGTGGCAACTCTTAAGATGTGTAGACTTCAACTCCCAGAATTCCTCAGTCAACATGTTGGCTGAGGAACTCTATAAGTTGAAACCCACATATATTAAAAGTTCCCAAGTTAAAAAAAAACCAATGATTTTTAAAGCAAACAAAATGTTTTGTTTTGTTTTTTGGTTGTCACATTTTGAAAAGCGCCTTTTTAAAGCATCGTTGTTGTTTTCTTTGACAACGTATCCATCACAATTGTGTTTTGTTCCTTTGGTTTTTCTGTTACTAGGCTAGAAACAGAGGGTCTTGAGTTCAAGTTCTGGCCTTAGCTATGAAAGCCAGCTGGATGACTTTGGGCCAATCACCAAGGGACAGTGAGTTCTAGTCCCGCCTTAGGCATGAAAGGCAGTTGAGTGATTTTGGGCCAGGGCCAGTCACTCTCTCTCACAGCCCAACCCCCCCTCACAGGGTTGTTGTTGAGGTGGGGAGGAAGAAAGTGTGTGGGGTATGTTCATCCCCTTGAGTTCTTTGTAAAAATAATAAAAGTAGAATATAAATAAATATTTTTAAAGCAAAATTTTTTTTAAAAAGGCCAGCTGAGTGTCAGAAAATTAACGGCCCAAGCTTCTTTTCACTATTAATTTATCAGACTCTTAAGTTTTTCTCTATTTTCCTAAATAAATCTAGCAACTACTGCGAAACTCTAGAGGAGCACTTCATGGCTATTTTATTTTCGGAAAATGCACCGTATCAGAAAGACCTCTTTCCAGCACACCATCGTCCCTTTCAAATCAAAGAAAATACTTGCTACTCAAGTCTTCCCCTTCTTCCCTTTTGCATCTGGGGCACTGAGCCGCACCACTAAATCAGAAACCTGACCAAGGGAAGAAAAACAAATGAAGTTTATAACAAAAGACAAGATGGCAGCCATCGCAGGCCTCCGTGTTCCTCACTCATCATACACAACCTCTGCTTTTTAGGGAATAAAATGGATTTTTATTGATTTGGAATAGTTTTAAGCCATCCTGTGAAGTTTAGGCAGCTTTAAAACGCAATAAAAATAGAAGAATAAACAAAGGGAACCCCTCCCATTTCCTTCCTGTACTTCCCAATCAACAGAAATACGGGAAAAAAAAAAATAAGCAAAATGAAAATTCAATTCTCCTATTTTTCTTCCAACCGGATCTGTCCATCCGTCCCCATAAGTATTACAAGGGAGTCAGTTTTTTTCTTTTTAATTTCCTAGATTATTTGTAAAAAAATAATAATAATAAAGGCAGGAAATAAAGAAATTATACTAGGCCACAGAAAGGGAGAGGAGAAGCCTCCGCTCACCTCCTTAAGACTAAAACCTCCATCTTCCCACAAACTGCTGAGCTAACCCAGGACAGACCCAGGAAATGCAAATTGAATTTCCTAGATTATTCGTAAAAGTAACAAAAGCAGGATGTAAAAGAAACAAGACTATACAAGGCCGCAGAAAGAGAAGGCAAGATATCTCCGCCGATCTTCCCGGAAACCTCTGGGCTAACCCGGGACAGACCCGGGAGACACAAATTTAATTTCCTAGATTATTCGTAAAAATAACAAAAGCAGGATATAAAGAAACAAGATTATTTATAAAACATCATGAAGGCAATTTATCAATAAATAAGATTATAGAAGGCTACAGAAAGAGAGGGAAGAAGTCTCGGCTGATCTCAACACTTACAAACCCCCCACCACCACCACCATCTTCCTGCTAACCCGGGACAAACCCTGGAAACCCAGATTGAATTTCCTAGTTTATTCGTAAAAGTAACAAAAGCAGGATATAAAAGAAACAAGATTATTTATAAAACATCATGAAGGCGATTTATCAATAAATTATAGAAGGCTACAGTCTCTGCTGATCTCAACACTACAACCCCCCCCCCATCTTCCCGCAAACTGCTGAGCTAACCCGGGACAGACCCGGGAAACGCAAATTGAATTTCCTAGCTTATTCGTAAAAGTAACAAAAACAGGATATAAAAGAAACAAAAGATTATACAAGGCCGCAGAAAGAGATGACGTCTCCGCCGATCTTCCCGCAAACCTCTGGGCTAACCCGGGACAGACCCAGGAGACCTGCCAACCCACCTTCAAAGTCCCCAGCGAGTTTCGGGGTCCTCCAGACCCTCCCCACTCTTGAAGAAAAATTCTTGGGGAAAAAATGCAACCAATAATAAAAAAAAGGGGGGGGAGGAAATCTTAAGCACAGCAGCTTCTCAATTCACCCGTTTCTAACCCGGGTTAAGGAAACAGCTGCCAACCCCGCCGGACAGAAGAAGAACTCGGGGCAGGAACGCCGAATTCGCAATCGCGAGAAGCAGAAAAGTGGTCTTACTTTCCGTGGCTTCCGTCAGGCCGGAGATGCACACCAGCACGACGCACCAGAGGAGAAGTTCTTTGGAGTTTGCCATAGTTCTTGGGTTTTTGGGTTTTTTGCAGCCCCGAAAACCGCCTTCCACGCTCCTCGGATCCCGAAAGTGAAGTGACTCTGCGGAGCTGGGGGAACAACGCCTCTAAGAGAAAGAAGAAAAAAAAACTCGTCTCTGGCCCAATCAAAAAATCGAAAGGGTCGTGTCGTCACTGGTCGCTAGGCACGAGGTTTCCCGCAGGGGTCTGCTCAAGGAGTTCGGGACTTTCCAGCGCAGGCGCGCTTCTGCCCGCCGCGACTTCCACTTTCGATTTCTGGCTGCGGGGAAGGAACGGCTGATTTCCGAGAAACCAACCCAGGCTCGGCTTTCAAACGGGGGGGGGGAGCGAGGGGGATCTGCTGCTGGCGCTGAAGAGCAGAATGCGGGTTGCGGCGGCTGAGATGGGCCAAAGGGGGAAAATGATCCCGGTTGTGTCCCAAAGGCGCTTTTCTTTCTTTCTTTCTTTCTTCCTTCCTTTCTTTCTTCCTCTCTCTCTCTCTCTCCCTTCCTTTCTTCCCTCCTTCCTTTCTTTCTTTTTCTTTCTTTCATTCTTTCTTTCTCTCTCTCTCTTCTTCCGTCCTTCCCTCCTTCCTTCCTTCCTTTCTTTCTTTCATTCTTTCCTTTCTTTTTCTTTCTTTCTTTCTTTCACTCTTTTTTTTTAATTTGATTTATATGCCGCCCTTCTCCGGAGACTCAGGGTGGCTTACAATGCGCTAAGCAATAGCCTTCATCCTTTTGTATATTTATACAAAGTCAGCTTATTGCCCCCCACAAACTGGGTCCTCATTTCACCTACCTTAGAAAGGATGGAAGGCTGAGTCAACCTTGAGCCTTGGAGAGATTCGAACCAGCAGAAATTGCAGGCAGCTGTGTTAATAACAGGGTGCACTAAACCTTCCTTCCTTCCTTTCTTTCTTCCTCTCTCTCTCTCTCTCTCCCTTCCTTCCTTTCTTTCTTTTTCTTTCTTTCTTTCTCTCTCTCTCTTTCTTCCTTCCTTCCCTCCTTCCTTTCTTCCTTTCATTCTTTCTTTCTCTCTTTCTTTCTTTTTCTTTCTTTCCTTTCTCTTTCTTTCTTTCTTTCTTTCATCAAGAGGCAAGTGGACTTTCTGGTTCATCCAAGAAGCTTCTTCAGCCTCCCCCACCGTCCAGCCAGAGCTGAAGAAGCTTCTTGGATGAGAAGCGAAACATCTTCAAAGAAAACGTGGAAACTAATGAAGGAGAGGAGCAATTTAGAACTGTGGAGAGAGTGAGAACAATTAATCAGTGGAACGACTTGTCTCCAGAAGTTGTGGATGATCCAACACTGGAGGTTTTTAAGATGTTGGACAACCATTTGTCTGAAGTGGTGTAGGGTTTCCTGCCTAAGCAGGGGGTTGGACTAGAAGACCTCCAAGGTCCCTTCCAACTGTTACTCTTCTCTTCTCTTCTCTCCTCTCCTCTCCTCTCCTCTCCTCTCCTCTCCTCTCCTCCTCTCCTCTCCTCTCCTCTGTTCTATTCTATTCTATTCTATTCTATTCTATTCTATTCTATTCTATTAAAACCAGAAAGTCCACTTGCCTCTTGAAGAAAAAAAAACATCTTTGGGACAACGATGACCTAGATGACTGAGAATCTCCATAGAAACCTCAGATATTGCTCCAGAAAAAATGGTGGAATAGCTACAATTGATCACCTTTGTTAGGGCCTGTTCCTTTTTAATCTGTTGGCAGGTTGTTTATCTGGAGAGGCAGAGAATTTCCTAGGATAAATTTATAACCCCGGACTTTGCTCTCTGACAAACAGGATTGAGTTTGTTTGGCTCTGATAGCAGTTTCAAAAGCAGCTTATCGAGTTTATAATTCTAAACAGAGGCCCGTGTGCCCCAAAGCTGCATATCTGTTTTTTTTTTTTTTCATGCATCATCTGACATCCAAATGCACGAAATATAAGTGGCTCTTGACTTAAAACTATAATTGGGACTGGAATTTTCACTGCTAAGCAAGATGGTTGTGAAATGAGTTGCATCTAACTTTACAACTTTTTGTGCCATGGTCTTTAAACATATCACTGCAGTTAGGGGAATTTTGTTAAGCGATTAAGTGAACCTGGCTTCTCTCGTTGACGTTGTTTGTGGGAAGGAAGCCAGCTAGGAAAGTCCCAAATGGTGATCCCATGGTCCTGGGATGTTGCAGTCATTGTAAATACATGCCAGCCAGTTGCCAAGGTCCCACATTTTGACAGTCGTAAGAGTGAGCGCCAGACCTAAGTCAATTTTTTTTAATACCATTGCAACTTTGAATTGTTGTTAAAATGAAGGTTTGTAAGACTGAAGCACAGACTTGCTCAGATGCCGTAAAAACCGCCTTCGCACAACCTGTTTTTCCCGCAGTGGATTACACCAGGTTCAATTCAATTCAATTGAACTCAATCAGGGGTCCTTGGTGCTCTCTGAGCTTGTAGACGTTTCAATGACCCTAACTAAGTAACATCATCAGTGCTTGAATGGAGTGGGGTTCTGCTAGCCCTTCTAGCACTGATCATGTTCCCTAGTTGGGTCATGAAACGTCTGCAAGAAAACAAGCAAGCTCAGAGAGCACCAAGGACCCCACCATCTTCCTCCTCCTCCTCCTCCTCCTCCACACTGCAAACCCCACTCCCTTCTACCCATGTTTCCTGAAAATAAGACCCTGTCTTATTATTATTTTTTTTGAACTCTGAAATAAGCGCTTGGCTTATTGCCATGCGCTCAAAAGCCCGATTGGGCTTATTATAGGGATGTCTTATTTTGGGGAAACGGGTAGCACTGATGAGTTCCCTAGTTGGGTCATGAAACGTCTGCAAGAAAACAAGCAAGCTCAGACAGCACCAAGGACCCCACAGTCGTCTTCTCTCCTCCTCCTCCTCCTCCTCCTCAACCCCATCCCTTCTAGCACTGATGATGTTCCCTAGTTGGGTCACAAAACGTCTGCAAGAAAACAGGCAAGTCAGACAGCACAAGGACCCCCACAGTCGTCTTCCTCCTCCTCCTCTCTCCTCTTCCTCCTCCTCCTCACCACATCCCTTCTAGCACTGATGATGTTATCTAGTTGGGTCACAAAAGTCTGCAAGAAAACAGCAAGCTCAGAAGCCCAAGGACCCCAAGTCGTCTTCCTCCTCCTCCTCTTCTTCTTCCTCCTCCTCCTCCTCCTCAACCCCACTCCCTTCTAGCACTGATATTGTTATCTAGTTGGGTCACGAAACGTCTGCAAGAAAACAGCAAGCTCAGAGAGCACCAAGGACCCCCAGCCGTCTTCCTCCTTCTCCTCCTCCTGAATGCTCTCCTCTCCTCCTCAACCCCACTCCCTTTAGCACTGATAATGTTAAGTTGGGTCACGAAAATCTGCAAGAAACAGGCAAGCTCAGAGAGAACCAAGGACCCTACAGTCGTCTTCCTCCTCCTCCTCCTCCTCCTCCTCCTCCTCCACACTGCAAACCCCACTCCCTTCTAGCACTGATGATGTTACCTAGTTGGGTCACGGAACGTCTGCAAGAAAACAGGCAAGCTCAGACAGCACCAAGGACCCACATCGTCTTCCTCCTCCTCCTCCTCCTCTTCCTCTTCCTCCTCACCTCAACCCCACTCCCTTCTAGCACTGATGATGTTATCTAGTTGGGTCACAAACGTCTGCAAGAAAACAGGCAAGCTCAGACAGCACCAAGGACCCCACAGTCGTCTTCCTCCTCCTCCTCCTCTTCCTCCTCCTCCTCTCCTCAACCCCACTCCCTTCTAGCACTGATAATGTTACCTAGTTGGGTCACGAAACGTCTGCAAGAAAACAGGCAAGCTCAGCAGCACAAGGACCCACAGTCGTCTTCCTCCTCCTCCTCCTCCTCTCTCCACACTGCAACCCCACTCCCTTCAAGCATGATGATGTTACCTAGTTGGGTCACGAAACGTCTGCAAGAAAACAGGCAAGCTCAGACAGCACCAAGGACCCCACAGTCTTCCTCCTCCTCCTCCTCCTCACCCCACTCCCTTCTAGCACTGATGATGTTACCTAGTTGGGTCACGAAACGTCTGCAAGAAAACAGGCAAGCTCAGAGAGCACCAAGGACCCCACAGCCGTCTTCCTCCTTCTCTCCTCCTGCTCCTCCTCCTCCTCCTCCTCCTCAACCCCACTCCCTTCTAGCACTGATGATGTTACCTAGTTGGGTCATGAAACTCTGCAAGAAAACAGGCAAGCTCAGAGAGAACCAAGGACCCTACAGTCGTCCTCCTCCTCCTCCTCCTCCTCCTCCTCACACTGCAAACCCCACTCCCTTCAAGCACTGATGATGTTACCTAGTTGGGTCACGGAACGTCTGCAAGAAAACAGGCAAGCTCAGACAGCACCAAGGACCCACAGTCTTCCTCCTCCTCCTCCTCCTCAACCCCACTCCCTTCTAGCACTGATGATGTTACCTAGTTGGGTCACAAAACGTCTGCAAGAAAACAAGCAAGCTCAGAGAGTACGAAGGACCCCACAGTCCTCCTCCTCCTCCTCCTCCTCCACACTGCAAACCCCACTCCCTTCTAGCACTGATGATGTTACCTAGTTGGGTCACGAAACGTCTGCAAGAAAACAGGCAAGCTCAGAGAGTACCAAGGACCCCACAGTCTTCTTCTTCCTCCTCCTCCTCCTCCTCCTCCACACTGCAAACCCCACTCCCTTCTAGCACTGACCATGTTACCTAGTTGGGTCACGAAACGTCTGCAAGAAAACCACCAAGCTCAGCAGGAAAGACCCCCCACACTTCAACCCTGAGCTACAAATATTCTCTTTTATTGAACTCCACTCCTTGGTCCACGGGATCCGATTCGAAGCTAAGCCCTCCGGAGCGGCTCGCAAACCAGCTCGCCACGCGCCTCGGTCACCACCCGACCCCCGTGGCTGAGCCCCTTAAGGGGAGGCGTGTGTATTTTTTTAAATGAGACCCTGAGCGGCTGCCCCGCCCCCGAAAAGGCCCTTTAAAAAGAGCCGGCATGGGCGCAGGGAGTGACCGCTGCCGGGCGAAGGCGCTACGAGGGCTCCATGGCCGAAGGAGGCGAAGGCGCGGGGGCGCTGGACGTGGTAAGCACCCGGCGCTGTGCGGAGCCTCGGCGGCCGAGCCGGTGGATGCTGGAGCCCGTCGGAGAAGCGCCTTCCTCCCAGCCCTTCGCGGCGCGCCTTCCCAAACCGGGGTGCCGGAGTCCCGTTGCAATCCTGCTCCATCCTTTGGCTTCCTTTTCCTTGGCGTGCTTTCCTTCTGCATTTCAATGCTACGCTTGAGTAGTAAACGTACGCTTTTGAGTAGGAGGTTTCCCAGGAGTAGCTGCGTCCGGGCAGTCGGGAGTAGTAAGGCTTTACTCCTGGATTCCGGAGCCAGGATGCTCCGCGCGAGGCGAGCGGTTCTCTTACGCACGGAGTTGTTCCTCCTCCTCCTCCTTTTCTCCTTCGCCCTCCCTTCCCTCTCTCCCTCGTAAATGTGAATTACTCCTCCTCGTGGCTGTTGGAAGACCGTACAAATAAGACTGGTCTATCCTTTCTCAGCCAAGAGACTTTGGCTATTAAAACTAGGGCTTGAATCTTAAAAGTGGGGGTGGAAAATATTGGCTGTCTTACCTTTGGGGAGGAATTGAAATAATACTGCTAGTATAGATACCGGTAGTAGTAACTCAGCAGTGATGCTGGGCTCAGTACAAAACACTATTTTTGGCTGAAATAGACAGAGGTGTAAGCAAAACTATGAGTTTAAATTTTCTTGAACTAGCCCAGATTTGAGTTTTGGTCAAAATTCCCTATTTTCCAAGGAGGAATTTAAATATATGAGGTTGCATTTTCTTGTTTGTTTGTTTAAATCAGATCCTAGAGGATTATTTCATGATGGAGGAGGACACAGGGGAAGAACCGGTGATGGACAAAGCAACTGAAGAGGATGAAATTGATCTTTATATTAACTTAACATTCACTTCAGGTAAAAGCTACTGGAACAGCAAATCCTGGCCTCTTTGAGTGGAGTAAAGAGCTTGTAATGAAATAGTATAGCAGGACAAAAGTGAACCAAAGCTCTCATCATTGAATTTTCTTTTCTTCTTTAAAATAAAGTATAAATAAGAGATAAAAAATATAAAAACACAGTCTTAAAAAGGTGTGGATAATTATCCCTAGGGAACATTAGGATGAACATATATTTGAACAATAAACTATACAAATCGCTAGCAGTAAGCAATATATTAATACTGAACATTATAGGTCAAGTTGAAATATAGTTTTGTGAAGGGAAAACCCAAATCTTGGATGGGATACAAAACAAAACCTACATATAGTGTTATGCAAGAATGATTTCCAATTAGAATGAAATTCTGCATCAGATTTAATTTTTTAGGAAGGGAGATCCATCAAAGATGTTAAACACCTGTATGAATAGGTAGGTATATGAATATACCTGTAAGCATAGGAATATACCTGCGTAAATATAATGAAAACATGACTGGTAACAATTGAGTTTCATAGAAGTGTTTGCTCTATTCAACTGGACACATGGCCAATTTACAAGTATATCTGAAAAGTTGAAGATGACTCCTTCCACGTTAAATGATGGTTAAGTTCATGGAGCACATTTAACCTAGTTACTAAGCCAAGCAACCTTTTTAAGATTGTGTAACGTGTTAAGCCAGAATATAAGTAACTTGCCTAGATTTGCAAAGGCTCAGAACAAACCAAAGCTAGTATACGAATGCTACTTTTACATCAATTTAATCATTAAAGTATTGTGATTTGCAACTATTCTTTACAAGATGGACCTCTGTGGAGACCATCAAACTTATACTTTATACTCCTTATATACTTGATGGTCCTTATATACTTGATATACTATATAACTTATAGTAAAGAGAATGTATATTTGATTATTCACGTAATAACTGCAGCTAGGATTGTAATTTGCACAAAATTGGAAAAGTGAAGAGATTCCTACAGATGAGAATGTGATTAGGAAAATATTAGAATGTGCAGAAATGAATAGGTTAACACTTGCAATTAAAGAGAAGGAACAAACTGAATATTATATTGTATGGAAACTATTTTACCGATGGCTAGAGAATAAATATGAACGTTAGAAATAAAAGTAGATTAGTGAAATACCAAAAATATATTAATAGAATTAGATAAGAGAATTGTTACAGTATTAGACATGCAATGTATATTAATATTAAGTTAAGATTAGATGAATAATGAATATGGCTTTAAATCTTAATATTGCACAAGACATTTGTACCCCAGATGATACACTGTTTAATGGAAGATGGATTGTTTGTATTAAAATAAAAAAAAATTTTTTAAAAAAAAGTATATAAGGAGGATAGTCTTCCACCTCTTTAGCGCCTTCAACAACTAAAGCGATCTAGTAACATCCACCAAATCCTGAAATCAGTTAGTACCGTTGCAAGGAACACAGAAAATAAGATGGCTTGAACCCAGGACCTTCATCGTGTCAAATCTTACTTAGAGTGAGATTGTAATAATGTCCTCCCCTTTTAGCATAAGGGTGTTTCTATATTGACCTAGATGTTCGTTCTCTTGATTTGCAAGCCTACCCTGAAGACCACAGGGCAAAGGCCTTGACAAAGGAATCTCAGAAAGTGGCTGCAGTTGACCCTGAGGAAGGGGAGGTGGTCGATGCTGGAGGAGAAGACGAGACCGGAACTTCAGACGGGGAACCGATGGTAGAAGATGGAAAAGAAGATAGACATCTTCCCCAAGAGTCTCAGCCCCGGTTTACTTATGGCACCATGGAGGTAGAAGAAGAAGACATGACCGACCATGGAGAGGTGCCTACAAGTAAGAATGCAGGAGAACTGCATGACTTGGAAGATCCAGCTGTCGTGAGTGCTGTACGCAGTCAGCTTCTTCTGGAGGTGAGGGGAAGGACTTCCTTTGATAGGGGCTCTCAAGATGGAGATGAGCTACAAGGTGGTAGACCAGCCGGCTATGAAAGAAGGGATGTCCCCCCAATCCATTGAAAGCACACTAGATTTGAGTTGCTTATCTTAACAGTGCAGCCTCTAAAGCTCCTCTAAGCTACAGGAGAGGACCTCAAGTTTTGGTCCTCCTTTCATCTAGAACCCATCTTCTCTCAGGACCTGGTAGCGATATGTCCGGGGATCTCCATGTGAAGTAGATTAAGTTGAGAGAAGATGGACAGGCTGTAAATCATTGAGTAAACTCAATATCTAGTCTTAATTCTCTTGGTCCACCTTGGTCTACTGGTGAAGGCAGTAGAGTCCATCTTGGTCTACTGGTGAAGGCTAGAAACCAGGAGTCTGAATTCTAGTCCCATCTTAGGCATGAAAGCCAGCTGGGTGACTTTGGGGCGAGTCATAATGTCTCAGCCCAACTTACTCCATAGGGTAATAAATCGGGTGGGATTCAGCCGGTTCGTACTAGTTCAGGCGAACCGGTACTTATGCCGTCCTATTTAGCTGCGTTCTTTAAGTTGTGCGCATGTGTGCAAGCATGTGAGCAAAGCGCATGTACAAAAGGCCCTGCACACTCATATTTTCGGTGCTGGGGCGAACCAGTTGTTAAATTATGCGAAGCCCACCTCTGGGGTAATTGTTATGGAGAAAATAGGAAGTGGAAGGGTCGTTATGTATATTCGTCACCTTGGGTTATTTATAAAAAAGATAAAATAAAGGTGAGGTACATGTTAAATAAAAATGTCCACCGCCATATCTGACTTCAAATTATGATTTTGTATTCACCAAAGAGGGATTACATATATAGGGGGGAAAAAATGTCCATGCTTTGATTTTAAATTCATAGCCAAAAATAAAATCCATTAACCGATATTTTGTAATGCTGATAATGCCCCTGAAAAAATAAAATTAGTTTTGTAAGTGCTCATTTTGTATTTAGGACATCCTTTATCCTCTTAGTGGCATTTTTGTGATTTTCTTTCTTTGAATCCCCTTTTTTCTCTTCGCAGAAAGAAGATTCTGCTGTTCTCGAAAGCAAACTGGCCAACAATCTTTCAGATTTTTCTCCCGATTACTTGGTAAGGCGGTTTAGTTTCCTTTTCCACTCCCCTTCCGATAAATGTGTATTATTGGAAGAAATAAAAAAAGGGGACGGAGGCAGGGGTCAGGCAGGGTTTTACAGGAAGGGGCTGCTGTTGAATGGATCCATCGGTGGGAAAAATATTCAGCTGTGAACCGAGTTAAAATTAAGATATTGCAAATTTTTAAAAACGTGAAGATGCTTTCACATTACCAGCTACCCACCGGATCGCCCATCGCTCTTTGAGCCTCGTGCCAATCGTCAGAGCCAGGTTTTAATACAGGTAGTCCTCGACTTATGACCAGAATTGAGCCCAACATTTCCGTTGATGAGTGAGACGTTTGTTAAGTGAGTTTTGCCCCCCTTTTACGACCTTTCTTGCCAGAGTTAAGTGAATCACTGCGACTGTTAAGTTGGTAACACGGTTGTTAAGTGAATCCAGCTTCCCCATTGACTTTGCTTGTCAGAAGGTCTCAAAAAAAATGATCACATGACCCTGGGACACTGCAACCGTCATAAATACGAGTCAGTTGCCAAGTGTCTGAATTTTGAACATGTGACCACGAAGATGCTGCAATGGTATGAAAATGCATAAGTATGAAAAATGGTCATAACTCTTTTCAGTGCCTAGAACTCACCGTCTCCTAGTGATTGGCCCAAAGTCACCCAGCTAGTTTTCATGACTGAGGTGGAACTAGAACTCGCGGTCTCCTAGTGATTGGCCCAAAGTCACCCAGCTAGTTTTCATGACTGAGGTGGAACTAGAACTCATCGTCTCCTGGTGATTGTCTCAAAGTCACCCAGCTAGTTTTCATGACTGAGGTGGAACTAGAACTCACGGTCTCCTAGTGATTGGCCCAAAGTCACCCAGCTAGTTTTCATGACTGAGGTGGAACTAGAACTCGCGGTCTCCTAGTGATTGGCCCAATGTCACACAGCTAGTTTTCATGACTGAGGTAGAACTAGAACTCACCATCTCCTGGTGATTGTCTCAAAGTCATCCAGCTAGTTTTCGTGACTGAGGTGGAACTAGAACTCATCGTCTCCTAGTGATTGGCCCAAAGTCACCCAGCTAGTTTTCATAACTGAGGTGGAACTAGAACTCACCATCTCCTGATGATTGTCCCAAAGTCACCCAGCTAGTTTTCATGACTGAGGTAGAACTAGAACTCGCCATCGGCTGCTTTCTAGCCTTAACCGTTAGGCCGAACTGCCTCTCTGAATGGGTAACAAAATGGGCAATAGAAGGAGACTTGAATGCCTTAACCGTACCAATTGCTCCCAGTCATTTTGTCTCTTCTCACCTTTTCCCCCCTCCTCTTCAGCCCCATTCGAACTGTTGTATGTGGAGTCCAACTCTGAGGAGGGGCCCGTCGTTATCTATGATACAGGTACCTCTCTTTCTCTGCACCCTGAAAGCAGGACCGTTTGGCTAAGTTAGGCCTGGCTTTACCATCTACCCATTTCGATGAAGCTCAGCTGCTACAACTAATTACCCTGAACCAGGGTGGGCTGCGTGGATCCAACACTGAGTAAGGCAGGGTTTGCAAACTGCGGCGGCTGGATTCACCCAGCACAGCAAATCAAAAGCAAACCAACAGTGACGTAAAGTCATATGGGAACCCGGTCTGCTGTGGCACCTAGAAGTATTTGAAGCTACTCAGATTTTTGGGGAGGGGGCTTTTATTTTCAGAATATGAACATCCTGGTGTGGATAGGGAAGGGAGAGGAGAGGGGAGGGAGGGGAGGGGAGGGAGGGAGAGAGGAAGGAAGGAAGGAAGGAGAGAAGGGGAGGGGAGGAAGGGAAGGGAAGGGAGGAAGGAAAGAAAGGAGAGAAGGGGAGGAAGGAACAAAGGAGAGAAGTGGAGGGAGGGAGGAAGGGGAGGGAGGAACGAAGGAAGGCAGAAAGGAGAGAAGGGGAGGGGAGGAAGAGAAGGGAAGGAAAGGAGGAAGGAAGAAGAGAAGGGGAGAAGGAGGGGAGGAAGGAGACAAGGGGAAGGGAGGAAAGAAGGAGTTCAGAGAGGAAACAGCAAGAGATGATATTGGACCCATTTGCCTTAATTAAACAAAATTCTGGATTAATCAGTTTAAACATGGCATTCTGGTAGCTTATTTTTATCTTCCGTAGTTCTTCACCCTTCTGCCACTGGAGGACACTCCAGATTATATTTTATTCCCAACACCTTCTGCTCTTATTACCTTAAAATCAGGATGATTGATAATTTGGGCCTAAAAGGGAGGGGCCTTTTTTTAGAATTATCTTCAGCTCCTTCCTCTTTCCTCCTCTTGAGAGGTCCTTTCATTTCCAACTGAATTGGGGTTTTCAAACAATGAAGGTTGAGGTCTGAAAATCCGCTTCAGAGCAGAAGACAAATACATAAACCCCTAAATTCAGTAATACGGAGTTTTAAGAACAGTGAGTGAACTGCCCCGCAGTCGTGTCTCCAAGGGAGGTGTCCCGAGGACGTGGTCAAAAAGTCAAGATGCCCAACGGTGCAACTGAAGCTTTGCCTGATTTTTCTTATCTGCATTGTGACAGTTCTTCGAAGTTGACTTTTCTGCCACCTCCTGTCAACGCCCCCATCTCCGTAACCCCAACGAATTGCAATTTGGGGTTGACTGTCACTTCTTGTCCTTCAGGCTCTAGAAAGGGTGTCTCGGTCCCGTGCCGAACTAGACTTCTTGACTTCACCGTTGCGGACCAGCTACCTCGATTCCCCTGATGTGCACTGTTCGGCTTTCTGCGGGCGGACTCTGAATGCCACTCCCCAGCGTTTCATGCGTCAAGTAAGGGAAATCTTCTCGAATTCCAGATTGTCTGAGCTTTTCGATTCTGCAGAAGCTCCGCACTCTAGCAGAACTTCATTGCATCTTTCTGAATAATAAAACAGTTGACTTGACTTGGGTGTCAAGATCTCTCAAGAGTTCGGGATTCTAGTTTTAATATGCATTTTATATATACTGTACGATTGAGTTGTATATATGTTTGTACTTCTCACTTTTGATGATTGTCACTGCCCGGTCATCTTCCTGTCTTGCAGCAACCTCAAATGATGTCGCCTTCCGTAAGACCGCCTTATCCGTTCACTCCACCCCGCAGGATACGTCGTCCGTTTGGCCTTAGTCAGGTGATGTGCTATGCAATTCGAATATTGTACCTCTGGGACAGAGTGTCTCAATCTTGGCAACTGGGAGGTGTGTGGACTTCAACTCCCAGAATTCCCCAGCTCAGCGTGAACAGTTTTATGACTGTCATGAGTTATGAGTGTGATGGACAAGCTCCATTACAGTTGTAACGAATAGAATAGAATAGAATAGAATAGAATAGAATAGAATAGAATAGAATAGAATAGAGTAGAGTAGAGTAGAGTAGAGTAGAGTAGAGTAGAGCAGAGCAGAGCAGAGCAGAGCAGAGCAGAGCAGAGCAGAGCAGAGCAGAGCAGAGCAGAGCAGAATAGAGCAGAGTAGAGCAGAGTAGAGCAGAGTAGAGTAGAGTAGAGTAGAGTAGAGTAGAGTAGAGTAGAGTAGAGTAGAATAGAATAGAATAGAATAGAATAGAATAGAATAGAATAGAATAAAATGAGCTGGAAGGGACCTTGGAGGTCTTCTAGTCCAACCCCCTGCTCAAGCAGGAGAACCTATCCCATTTCAGATAAGTAGCTGTCTAGTCTCTTCTTAAAAACATCCAGTGATGGAACGCCCACAATTTCTGGAGGCAAGCTGTTCCACTGGTGAATTATCCTCACTGTTGGGAAGTTACTCCTTAATTCTAGGTTGCTTCTCTCTTTGATTAGTTTCCAACCATTGTTTCTTGTCCTGCCCTCTGGTGCTCTGGAGAATAATTTGCCCCCCTCTTCTTTGTGGCAAATCCTGGAATACGGCTATCATGTCACCCCTAATTCTTCTTTTCTTTAGACAAGCCAGACCCAAATCCTTCAGCCGTTCTTCATATGTTTTAGTCTCCAGGCCTTTGATCATCTTAGTTGCTCTTCTCTGAACTTTTTCCAAAGTCTCAACATCTTTTAAGTAGCACGGTGACCAAAATTTATAAGCTATAAGAGTTGTACTAAGGAGTTGTACCTGTACTCAGCTGGAAGAGGGGGTTCTGTTACTCTGGTTTGGAGAAGCAGCTAAGGTGTCCTTAGCCAGATGGTCTTTGTCAAGCGAGAGTATGTAAGAGGTCTCACTGGATTCCTTCTCAAAAGACCTTTAAAGAGTTTTCGGACTGTCGAATGCTCATTGGGTCACTCTGATCTTTCTCCTGTTGAATCTGATGAAGAACATAACGGCCAAAGCAGTTGGGGGCAGTGGTGAAATTCAATTTTTTTTTTACTACTGGTTCTGTGGGCGTGGCTTGTGGGCGTGGCAGGGGAAGGATACTGTAAAATCCCCATTTCCACCCCACTCCTGGGGGAAGGATATTGCAAAATCCCCATTCCCACCCCACTCCTGGGGGAAGAATATTACAGAATATCCATTCCCACCCCACTCCTGGGAGAAGGATATTACAAAATCTCCATTCCCACCCCACTCCTGGGGAAAGGATATTGAAAAATCTCCATTCCCACCACACTCCTGGGGGAAGGATATTGCAAAATCTCCATTCCCACCCCACTCCTGGGGTAAGGATACTGCAAAATCCCCATTCCCTCCTCACTCCTGGGGGAAGGACACTGCAAAATCCCCATTCCCTCCCCACTCCTGGGGGAAGGATACTGCAAAATCTCCATTCCCACCCCACTCTGGGGCCAGCCAGAGGTGGTATTTGCCGGTTCTCCGAACTACTCAAAATTTCCGCTACTGGTTCTCCAGAACCTGTCAGAACCTGCTGGATTTCACCCCTGGTTGGGGGGTCTTCTAACCCACAATGTGTTCCCTCTTCAGATGTCAGGGTATGCTTCTCCACCTCCGTTCCAACCGATGTTTTCCAATGCCAGCAGCCCAACGTGGGCTTTGACGCACACCCCCGAAACTCCACCCTTCAGCCCACTGAGTGGCAGCCAACAGAAGATCAGGTAAAACAAGGATTCAGTCAACTCTTTGGTTCCCCCCCCCCCCAAGAGAGTTGGGATTCACTGCTCTCGTTTGTCTTCCGTTTTTGTAGCTTGCCCAGCGCAATGACCCAATTGCATCCTTTGCATCAGAGATTTCTGACCCAAAGACAGCGAGGAGAAGAGGCGAGGTAATGATGGGGGGGGGTAGAGAAAATAGAAAGGGGGAACAAAGCCGAGGTGGTTGACTTGAGCTGTGATATCCCGTGTAACCGCGAGAGCAGAGAAATAACGCTTATACCAATTGCAATGATGGTTATGTGTCATCAAGTCAACTAGGTCGACTTTTCTCCATAACAATCTGGTCCTTCAGATGTTCCAATGGTGCATCATCGTTGCTATCAGTGAGTCCGCCCATCTTTCTGCTGGTTGTCTTCTTCTTCTTCTTCCAACTTTCCCAGCATCAGAGCCACCTCCAGACAGCTAGATTCAGATTTCAGTAAAATGTCAATAATGCTACTCAGGGCTAAATGGCATAGGAGCTAGTTATCTTCGAGACCACCTGCTGCTACCGACGGCCTCCCATCGATCTGTGCACTCCCACAGAGAGGGCCTCCTCGGGGTGCCATCAGCAAACAATGTAGGCTGGTGACCCCCAGGGGGAGGGCCTTCTCTGTGGGGGCACCTACCCTCTGGAATCAGCTGCCCCCAGAGATAAGGAGAATCCAAGACCTCCGTGCCTTCCGCCGTGCCCTTAAAATCTTCTTTTTCCAGCAAGCCGGGCTGGCCTAGCACTTTTTAAAATGTTTTTAATTGTTACTGTTTTTAATCATGGGGCCAAATTTATATATATCTTTTTAATTGTATTTTAATGTTTGTAGTTTATGTTTTTACTTGGCTGTTCACCGCCCTGAGTCCTCAGGTAGAAGGGCGGTATACAAATTTAAAAATAAATAAATAAATAAATAAATAAATAAATAAATAAATAAATACATACATACATACATACATACATACATACATACATACATATATACATACATACATACATACATAATCTTGCCAACAGTAATATGATTGTGGTCTCATTTATCCTGAGTTTTTTAATGGGGAAATCTCCTTGAGATGCTTTTTTCCAAATGTTTTCCCACCAGGGCTGAATTGTTGGGCATGAGATAATCTTACTGCTGAGTTGTCCCCAGATTTCCTACCCTTGCTTCAGTGTTTAATACATGAAGGGGTTGTGTGGCTTAATGTACTTGTTCCACACGCTAACTCCCACCTGGTGGAACAAACCCCAGATTTAAGGTAAGGCCTTCAAAATAAAATTTAGACTTAAATTGGCTACTGACCTTCCATTTATGGCTCGTTGGTCCAGATGATTCCAGAGCACCTTCAAAATCTCCCCAGAGAGTTAAAAGTAAAATGGGAATCTATTTCTTGGGTGAAGTTGACTTCTTGGACCAGTGGGGTTCGAAGGTTTCAAAACGTATCTCATAGATCGTGTTCCTGCTTGCCTCCAAGACTTCCCTCCGTAGACTCCCAAGGACCAGAAGTCGATCCTTTCTCTGCTCTCATGACTCCGATTGAAAAAGATTGGGTGATAAAGGTACAGATGTTACAGCTGCAGAGCGAAAAACCCCAGCGCGATGATTATTATTACCAGGTGAGTGCAGGAAATAGGTGGAATCGGTCTCAAATTGCAGGCTGGGCAGGGAGAATCCGTGGAGTGGTGGGACATGGGATGGGCATCACAATGGATTGCTTGTAGTTGTAGACCCATAAGCTGGGACAAGTAATGGGAGCTCACCCCATTACACGGCACTAGGGATTCGAACCGCTGAACTGTCGACCTTTCGATCGACAAGCTCAGTGTCTTAGCCACTAAACCACCACGTCCACTGCTCTAAAGACAACCCTAATTTATATACTGTAGGCTTGTCCTCTTTTGACCAATTGTCTTATCTTGTCCTCAGGAGTATTATCGCAAGCTGGAGCACAAACAAGCTGAGAAAGGACACCTGGCAGGGAGTAAACCAGAAGTCCCTAAGCTAGTCACCCCATATATCCAAAGAGTTGAGACCTATGAATCCGGTAAGTCCAGTGCAAGGGGGAGGGGATTTCTAAGGCATGGAAATACACGGACATCTCCTGACAGTGACTTCCTCTGCCAGTAGTGCGGATTCCAGGATCCTTAGGACAGGTAGCAATGTCCACGTGCTACAGTCCCCGCAGAGCTATCGATGCCGTGCACCATTTCTCTCTGGAACAGGTAGGTGCCTGATCGTTTCACCCATGCTCTATCTGAATGGCAGCATCAGGAGCCTCTCTTTATATATTTTGGGAGAGAGAGATCGTTGGAAATAAGGTACATGTGTTTTAAGCATATTGTGAGCCACGGTGGCGTAGTGGTCAGAGTGCAGTACTACAGGTTACTTCTGCTGCCTACCGGCTGCCTGCAATTTGGCAGTTCGATTCTCACCAGGCTCAAGGTTGACTCAGCCTTCCATCCTTCCAAGATGGGTCAAATGAGGATCCAAATTGTTGGGGACAATATCAGGGGTGAAATGCTCCCGGATCGGACCGGATCACACGATCCGGTAGCGATTTTTCCCTGTGGTTCGGCGATCCGGTAGCGATCGCCACCCGGATGTCATTACTTCCTGGTTTTAACCAGGAAGTAATGTTTTTTTACCTTCTGCCCATGCGCAGAAGGTGTGCGTGCACATGTGACGCTTCCAAACCGGTAAGGAAGGTAAGTAGATTTCACCCCTCGGCAATATGCCGACTCTGTAAACTGCTTAAGAGAGGGCTGTAAAGCAATATAAAGCAGTATAAAAGTCTAAGCGCTATTGCTATTGCTAAATCAAAGTTTTTCCTGCGTGTCGGAGGAACATAGTGGGCCGTTTAATCGCTCCACTCTCTGCAACTCGTCTAGAGAATTCTGCGTTCGAAATTCTGTGGGAAGGGGCCTGCAGACTTGTTGGGAACGTGGTGCGGATGGTTTCTCTTCTAGTGACTCAAATGTTTTTGTTACCCCTCTTTTATTTTCCAAGGCGGTGGGAAACCAACGGCTACAAGTCCTGTACCAGATTGAGAAAGTAAGCGGCTGGCTATTTCTTAGGTTGTGTTGTTTTAACCAGTTGGGTAGATTAAAGTCCTGGCTGATGTTTCTATGCTGTGGAAAACAGATGTACCTTCTGCTCCTGGAGATGGAGGACGTTCAGCGGAAACTGGATCAGGCCCCAGAAGAGATGCAACCCCAGTTACGTGAGAAACTTCTCCATGTGGTAGAGCGCACCTATCAAGCACTGAGAATTGAAGAGCATTCTGGGGAAGAGTGAGTCCAAGACAAATGACTAGCCATAATGGTAACAGTATGTTCTGACCTAGCCTTCCTGAGTCAGTAAAACACACAAGTAGTCCCAAAAACCTCTTTTATTGCAACAGCTGTGAATTCTGTTCATTCCCAGATGAGTCCCAAATAGAGTCCTTCGGGATAAGGCTGATAATCATCCACCTTTATCTCCCTTGACACGCTGCCAAAGACCTAATTGGCAAAGCCACACGGAGTCCAGAATCAAACAGAGCTTCAGACTTTAAACTGCACAGAATGAACAATGTTGCTTCCTGCAGAGGCCCACGTGCTTTTGCTCCTCTGCCCTTCCTGTTGCCAATGCGGAGCTTTGTTCAGCAGATACATTCTCACTGTGCCCAGAGAGAGAGAAATATCTGCCTCTGCTTAGGATCGAACTCACAGCCTCCTGATTGTGAGGCGAGAGCTCTACCCCTAGGCCACCGCACCACAAATCACAGAGTGATTCTGGATAATTTCTGGAAATTCCAGGACGCTATACTATTGCTCTCTTTGGAGTGTGGTTTTTCTCACTCCTCACAAAATCTTTGCTTTGCTTTCCTGATTATATTTTTTTTCCTTTCAGAGAGGTGAAAGAGGAATTTCTACAGATTCTACTGGTAGGAAAAGGGAAGCGGTTAGTGGCACGGCTTCTGCCACATCTGTCCCTGGAGCAAGCCAAGATGACTCTTGTCACCATTGTGCAACACCTAGCAGTGCTTATCAAGAAGGACTTGCTGGAGGAGGTACCTGTTCTCACCCTAGTTCTCCTTTAGCCGTTATCCAGATATTTGGAGATCCATGCATGGGGGGATTTTTGCACACAAAGCAAGCGTTTTGCATTTCTGAGAACCACATGAGTGGCTCTTGGAGAGGCTCGACTTCTTCTGGCCCAAGGTCTTCAGAAAACAATTGGACAAATGGATTAACTTAGTTTGAATTAAGGTCCCAAGCTGGGGGGGGGGTATTCATTTACCTTCACTACCGGTTCGCAAATGGGAGTGCGCACATGTGCAGAGTGTCAAAAACAGGACGTGATGATGGATGATGTCCGGGCGGGTGGGTGGAGCCTCCTACAGCTGTTGCTACTGGTTTGCCCGAACCGGATAGAACCGGCTGTATAGCACCACTGGTCCCAAGCTTATTCTGTGGGGTGGGTTACTGTTGGGATCCAGGCCCACGTAGTTAATATTAAATGCAAAACAGTTCCAAAAAACAAAGACTTTATTAAAACAGCTGAGAATTAACTCATTCTCATCTTATTCCAAATTAAATGAAAGCAAAGTCCTCAAAACACCAGTCTTTAGTTTATCTCTGACCTTGGGATAATTAGGCAAACTGCCAAAGGCTTTTTTTGGCAACAGTTCAGGAACAGAAGAAAAAACTACAGCCAAACACAAAGCAATTCTCTCAACGGTTGTTTTCCAGCAAAGAAGCCAAGAGCCGTTGCTGGTCTTTTAAGCCTTATGGGAGGGGCCAATCATCTCTTGGCCTTACTCCCGAGTCATCCTCTCTGCTTTAACTGCTCTTGCCTTCTGGCAGCTCTTCTCATACATGCACTAGGAACAGGCTCCTCCTGTTCCTCTGCCTCTCTACTGTCAGCCTCTGGAGGCTCCGAAGTCCGCACATTACTTTCCGATAGCCCTGGCCCCATCTCTGCTTCCGACGCAGAGCCCTCATCCGGGCCTTCCCCAGCCTCCAGGATTGGCCCATTTTCTTCCTCAGCCTCATCGCTGTCCGACTCCGCTGCCAGCTCCGCAGGCTGCTGGCGGACCACAACAGTTACAATCTGAATTTGTTTTGTGGTTCAGTGTGTCGATATTGCTAAAAAAGGGGGGTTTGTATCGGGTGAAATCCAGCAGGTTCTGACAGGTTCTGGAGAACCGGTAGTGGAAATTTTGAGTAGTTTGGAGAACTGGCAAATATCACCTCTGGCTGGCCCCAGAGTGGGGTGGGAATGGAGACTTTGCAATATCCTTCCCCCAGGAGTGGGGAGGGAATGGGAATTTTGCAGTATCCTTCCCCTGGAGTGGGGTGGGAATGGGGATTTTGCAGTATCCTTCCCCTGCCATGCCCACCAAGCCATGCCACGCCCACAGAACCAGTAGTAAAAAAAAATTGGATTTCAACACTGGTTTGTATATATATGTGCCTTAGTTGGTTTAGCAATGATTTGTTGAGTAAACTACAACTGGCTAACTTCACTAAAGATGCAAAGTGATAAACCTGAATAACGCATCGCCGCAGTACTCCATTTAGGATGCTGGGCCAAAACAAACAACATTGTGGTTTAGTCCCATGGGTGAACTCAGCTTAGATACAACAGTTGATTGGATTCCAGTATCTCTGGTCTGTGGATTGGATGCAATAATTTCTCCCAGTTTGGAAGACTTGGGTTTGATCTAATGTTTTGTCACTTTGTTCTTCTTCCTCCTTGCCCTTTTGACTCCGGCAGACCCTCTCTGTCCTCTACAACCCTCTCTGCGACACCATTGGACAGTTGACATTTAGAGAGTTGATGGATGTCCTCCAGGAACTCGCCCAGTTGCAGCCGGATTCTGTCAAGCAGTCCCTCGCTTTGGTCTTTAGCAATAAGGTACGGGAGTGTATACATTTCAGAGCGGAATCTATCCTCGAGTGAGATGTGGAGGATTTTTCTTAGCAAGTACCATCCAGGTCAGGGGTGTCAAACTCTGTTTCATGGAGGGCCGCATCAGGATTGTGTTTGACTTCGGGGCTGGGTGGGCTGGGTAGGCATGGCTGGGGTGGGTGTGGCCAGGGTTTGTTTTGCTAGCACTATGCCAGCGAAATACCCCTCCCAAGCTCCGTTTTCAGCTACCGCGGCCTCCTCACACTCTGCCAGTGAAAACAGAGCTCGCGCACGCCCCTCCTGAGTTCTGTTTTCACTGGCAGAGGTCGCAGCTGAAAACAGAGCTAGGGCCGCGTGTGGCCCTCCCGAGCCAGGGGTGAAATGCTACCAATTCACTCTGGTTCGGGTGAACCGATAGCGGTAAAAACTACCAGTTCGGGTGAACCAGTAGTAAAAAAATGCTTTAAAAAGTAAAAAAAAAAAGGTTCCGATGATCACAGCTGTGCCGCGCGATCATTGGAAGCTATTTCTTTTACTTTTTTAAAGCATTTTTTTACTACCGGTTCGGGCGAAGAGGTAATAAAAAATGCTTTAAAAAGTAAAAAAAAAAAAGTTGGCCATGCCCACCCAGTCAACTGACCTTCCCACCAAGTCACACCCACTAAGCAGCGCCCACAGGACCAGTAGCAAAAAATTCTGCATTTCACCACTGTCCCGAGCTCTATTTTCGCTGGCAGAGGAACCGCGGGCTGTTCCTTCTCTTGTTTCCAGGGCAGCCCCGTGGGCCAGATTTAAGCACCCCATGGGCCAGATCCGGCCTACGGGCCTTGAGTTTGACACCCCTGATCTAGGTTGTATGTAATTCAAACTTTTCTGTCTTGATAGTAGCTAAATTGAATCCCAAGTGTTTTCTTAATGGGTTTCTAATCTTCCTATCCTCCTTCCCCAAGTTTGCCATCTCGTTGCTGTACCTGTTCTTAAGCCATGGCGAGAGATGCCTCTCTTCCGATACATCCCCAAAGCCTGATAGCAAAGACTTGGAAAAATGGTGAGGAACCATCTGGTGAGCATAACGATGCTAGTCTGGTGGGTTTGATCAATGCTGGGTTGCCGACGGTTGCTCTGTGTCATTCTTCACAGGGTGGACTTGGTACTACTTGTTGCAAGGGAGCTCTCTCAGATTCCCAAAACGTCCATGGTGGAACCACTTCACCTTCCCAGCAACCTTCTCTTCCTCTTCTGTCGCTATGTGGACAAAGACACCGTGAACCGGTTGGATGTTCAGATGGACTGAGGATTATCCATCGTTAAAGGAGTGTGTTATCTAAAGGCACGTATATCTGTAAGGGCTCAACATATGTATGGCAGGGCAGCGGTATATGAAAGCTGTTTTCCGTTTTCAGCTACCGCGGCCTCCTCGCACTCTACTAGCAAAAACTGAGCTCACACATGCCCCTTCGGAGCTCTGTTTTTGACTACCACGGCCTCCTTGCACTCTGCCAGTGAAAAACAGAGCTCGCGCACGCCCCTTCCAAGTTCCGTTTTCAGCTACCACAGCCTCCTCGCACTCTACTAGCGAAAACTGTGCTCACACATGCCCTTTCCGAGCTGTTTTTGACTACCACGGCCTCTTTGCACTCTGCCAGTGAAAACAGAGCTTGCGCACGCCCCCTTCCAAGCTCCGTTTTCAGCTACCGCGGCCTCACACTCTACTAGCGAAAACTGAGCTCACACACGTCCCTTCCAGCTCTGTTTTTGACTACCACGGCCTCCTTGCACTCTGCCAGTGAAAATAGAGCTCGCACATGCCCCTCCCAAGCTCCGTTTTCAGCTACCCCGGCCTCCTCGCACTCTACTAGCGAAAACTGAGCTCACACACACCAGGGCAGCGGTAGATGAAAGCTGTAGGGTCTTTATAGCCCAGTCACTTGATGAGATGGGAGAGACATCTATGGTAATCACATGGCTCCTTGCAGCTCTCTTTGGTCTTTGATCAACCATGTAAACTCCAGGTCTTGCTGAACTACAACATTACTACTACTACATTTCACCCCTGCCCCCAGGAGACTTTGAAATTCTAGTTCCATCCTAGGCACATAGCTGGGTGATCTTGGACCAGTCGCTCGGCTCTAGGAAGGAGGGAATGGCAAACCACTTTTGAAAAACCACACTAAGCAAACTGCAGAGACTTGTCCAGGCAGACATAAGGAATGAACACCAACTCAAAGGCACCAAGAAAAGAAAAGAAAAGAAGCCATCAGTATGAGATTAGACTTAAGCCTGTTTTGTTTGAGATAACTCCAGGTGTCCTTATGCCCAGCCAAGGAAGGAGGTGTTTAATTACCAAAAAACAGGATTTCAGGAGATGTAGTTCTGATAGAGTCCTGCCAAAACAAGCAGTAGGAATATGATACTTGTTTGGGAGTTTCCTTTTAAGCGACTTTGCTTGCGGTGCCATTTGTTAGAGCTCACTTCTCCATTGCTAGAAAAGATGTAATGTTAACTGACCAGCAGTTGGTCAGTTGCCAGCCTTAAAAAGAAAACTCCCCGAGTCTTCCTTGTTTGATTCTTAAGTGACTCATGGCAACCGTAGTTTTCTAGGAACCAGAAAGAAGCCGTTTCCCCGTGAAACATCTCAGACAATATTTCTGGGCAAGGATAATTATGAAATAAACTGCTGTAACTCGGGAACTGAACTGGGTAAACCCTCATTTTTGCCGATAATGCACTGAGAAAGTGGCTAAGAGACAGACTACGTAGTTCATTTATTTTTATTTTATTAGTCATATTTCTATGCTGCCCGCTCTCTGAGGACTCTGGGCGGCTTACACCAAAGACAGTATACTAAATAGCATATTGCCCCCAACAATCTGGGTCCTCATTTTACCCACCTCGGAAGGACGGAAGGCTGAGTCAACCTTGAGCCTGGTGAGATTTGATCCGCTGATCTGCTGAATTAGCAGCTGAAGTAGCTGCAGTGCTGCACCCTAACCACTGCGCCACCTCGGCTCTTAGTTTCTAAGAGCATTTCTTAGTTGCAGAAATGCCGGTGGAATCTCAGGATTTGCCTTTGTTTTACAGGAGATGCCTTCACGCGCAGCTACAAAACCTGGAACTTTTGCTGGTTCTGCCCACGAGGGTTTGGACCAGTGACTCAAGCAGCCAGATGCTATTAGCGATATATAGAAAATGTTCCAGAACTGGATCCTTAATTTAACAACACAGATTTTGTTTGTTTGTTGTTGTTTTTTGGGGGGGAGGGGGGCTTGGTTTGGGATTGTTGTTTTTTTTTTTGTAATACTCTGTGCCAATTGTAAATATCTAGTGCTGGCACTAGAGAGCATGCCAGACCAACATGCTCAGCCTTGTGTAAACAGACCATGGCCTGTACAAGTGAGCATTTAGGACTTCTGATGGGGAGAAATCTTTGGGTTTTTTTTTATTGTCTTCTGTATGTACAGCACTTAAAATATATTAAAAGCAACGCAAAACCTGTCTGGCATCCTGACATGGGAGGGGAAGGGAAGTTGTGGTTGGGTAACTAGGCTTGATCTTATCCAAAATTGTTTGAACATTCCTCTTGTCTCCAGAAAAGGTAGATACTTCAGCTTTCAAAATTCCAAAAGAGAGAGATTGTCAGGCATTAAAGACCAGGTCGACATATATAAAGTTTATTGTCATTGTACGTATATACACAGTATACCCGTACAACGAAATTCACATAACCCAGAGACCAAGCCCAACACACATGACAATCCCCAAACACATTCCCACCCACCAAAATTCCCCACTTCTAAACCACCCAAACATCCACACAACTGACAAAGTAATGCTGTCCAACAGCTCACGGATGGTGGCCCTTTAGTTCATTGTTGAGTGCAATTATAGCTCTGGGATAAAAACTATTCAGAAAATGTGCGGTCCGAGTTTTAATTGTTCCGTATCTTCTGCCAGAAGGCAACAGTCCAAAAAGATTGTAAGCAGGATGGGAAGAGTCTCTGAGAATGTTATGCAACTTCCTCAAGCAGAGAGATTCGAAGATGTCATCCATGGCTGGTAGCTGGAGCCCGATAATATTCTGGGCAGTTTTAATGATTCTCTGTAGAGCTTTTCTGTCCGCTGCAGAGCTGCTCCCATACCATGCAAGAGTGCCGTATGTCAGGACACAATGGTGCTGCGATAGTAGGACAGAAGTAGATGCTGAGACAGATTTATCTTCCTGAGTATTCTCGGGAAGTACAGCCTCTTCTGTGCCTTCTTCACAAGCATGTTAGCATTCATAGTCCATGAGAGGTCCTCCAAGATATAAATGCCCAGACATGTGAAGGTCCAATTAAACTGCTTTATTGCTACCCATGCCTATTTACAGGGATCTTCTCAACTAATGGACAGCATCTGATTAAAGTTTGATAAAGCTCAATAGCACTCAAGGGACTTAGTTCGCTTGTGGCAATATAGGGATTCTAAGCTGACCCCTCTTTTCAATCCACCCCCAGATTCTGCCATTCCTTCTCCTACAGATACAACCAGTAGCAGACATTGTCTTCTCCCCAGGAGGTTCTGCAAGGTGTATGGTCAAAAAAAGACAAATTGGTGTCCATGACAGTACAATTGAACTCTGTGCATTTTCTATGCGTGAATGCACATAAAACCTACAGATTCAATCATACTATTTAGCTGCCATATTGACTTGTTTAATCATATCCTGCAGATCCCTCTGCTTCTTCCCGTCGGCTGAACCCAACCAACATTTGAGAGATCCAGAAAAGCTTCGTTCTGACTATTTAAGATCCAAGAGAAATTGCACTCCAAAATATTTTCGCCTGATGGCCTTCAGGATTTCAAAGGTCATTGCAAATTCTTTCGAGTTAACGCCTGGTCTTCAGTATAGTTGTTAACAGCAAAACCCAAAGTCAATATGTAGAGGTCAGATGCCCTGCAGTTGTGCACACAGGCCCTCCAGTTAGATCATACAGAACAGACTACGCCAGAGCAGTAAATTCAAAAAGTTTAGAACTGTTGGGAGGGTGGACAGAATATATAAAGAACGGTTGCTGGAACTGGGACCAAGGGTATGTTTAGTTTGATGAAAAGAAGGACCAGGGGAGACATAATAGCAGTCTTCCAATATCTCAGGGTTGCCCCAAAGAAGAGGGAGTCAAGCTATTCTCCAAAGCACCTGAAGGCAGGACAAGAAGCAACGGGTGGAAACTAATCAGGGAAAGAAGCAACTTAGAACTAAGGAGAAATTTCCTGACAGAACAATTAACTATTTGTCTGAAGTGATGTAGGGTTTCCTGCCTAAGCAGGGGGTTGGACTAGAAGACTCCAAGGTCCCTTCCAACTCTGTTATTCTATTTGGGTAAGGCTACCCCAGTTCCCCAAAATCATGACCACCTCTGCTGGAAGATTTGTTTAAGTGTAATAATCTTAAAATCATATAGTTTAAGACTGTCGTGAAATCCAGATTTTTTTACTACCGGTTCTGTGGGCATGGCTTAGTGGGCATGGCAGGGGAAGGATACTGCAAAATCTCCATTCTCACCCCACTCAAGGGGAAGGATACTGCAAAATCCCCATTCCCTCCCCACTCCTGGCGGAAGGATATTGCAAAATCTCCATTCCCACCCCACTCGGGGGCCAGCCAGAGGTGGTATTTGCCAGTTCTCCGAATTACTCAAAATTTCCACTACCGGTTCTCGAAACTGCTCAAAATTTCCACCACTGGTTCTCCAGGACCTGTCAGAACCTGCTGGATTTCACCCCTGGTTTAAGAAATTGCAAATTCAGCCATGTTTTTATCTTGGATTCCTTGGGTCCCTAATGCGGTATTTCTCAATCTCGGCCACATTAAGATGCATGGGACGTCAGCTCCCATTCATTTATATTTATATATATATCTAGCATGGCTGGCTAGGGGAATCCTGGGAATCGGAAGTCCATGCAGCTTAAAAGTGGCTGAGAAACATTACCCTAATGAGAGCAGCTTTTTCCCCCTAGCCTAGCCTAATGCAGAAATGGCATAATCATTCCTGTAGCTCTTTAGTTGTATTCACTGGAAGACTTAGTCACACTCTAATTAGGTTTTTTTTTCTTCTGCTTTGCCCGATGTTGCAACAGCTCAACTGAATCACTGCAGAGGCTTCTATAATCTTTGCGGAAAAGTGGAGCCAATTTAGATCAACACCCCGCCCTTCGGTTTCCTGTTGCAGCTGTTTGCACTGAACAGAGAAAGCACAACTTCTCATTTGCTCTCTCTTCTGCATGTTGGGGTGCTTTCAACTTCACTGCCTTAATTTTGTTTTTGGATAATAATCTATCAAACCATCGCAGGCAGAAATGTGCACTTTGTTCCTAGTCTGGAAGGACAGAGGTCGGCATAGATTGCACAATCTATTGTAAATGTCCACCGTGTAGAAATGTAGCTGTGCACAAGACTATTTTAAGAAGTCAACAGGTCTGCATCTTGACTTTTATTATTGCTACCAAGAAGATGCGGAAACGGCAAACCTGTTTGCTAATAAAGATGAGAGAATTTCTACCAGTTGGGCTTCTGCTCACTTTAAGGCTATTTCCTTATTCTAAACTATTTGGGCTAGAACAGGGGTCGGCAACCTTAAACACTCAAAGAGCTGTTTGGGCCCGTTTCACAAAGAAAAGAAAACACCGGGAGCCACAAAACCCTTCCCGTGCCTGACTATTTCTTGAGCAGCCACAAAACTAGCATATGTAGTTGAATTAAATGTTCTGTTTTCTTCTGATACTTTTCTTTTCTTGGATTTATCCATGGTTGGCCTACCGAGAGTCAAAAAGCCGAATAAATGATGTGCCAGCAGGCATCGCACATTGGCGGTTGTGATGCATATTTTGAGTGACGGAGCCGCAGCAGAGGGGTGAAAGAGCCACATGCGGCTCCAGAGCCGCAAGTTGCTGACCTCTGGGCTAGAATATACCTCTCAGCCAGCTTCTTAAGCGCAATGGAGTGCAACACAAAACTCTTGTCAAAAGCAGAAGGCCAGGGCAGGAATAGCCAAGCCAATGCTGTCTGTAAATCATTAACCAGGTGCCTGTGAAGGAAATGAAACATTTAAGTGAAAACCAAGATGCAAATCTATTTTCCACCACTTGTCATACAGCTTAAAGATGTAGGCATGATTAAAAGCAAGCAAGCTAACAAGCTAGATATTTTCCTAATACGACGTGTACAGTGTATACTGGGGAATTCCCCGCACAATCCTCTCAGTGATGCTATCTGAGGGAGATGCAGGGAACCACTCACAACTGAGGATGAAACACAAGCCCAGATGGTCTGGATGTAGATGGAGAAAGGCAGGATATTGTTTTCTGTACGGGTTAGAAAAGTGGTGTGGGGACCAAAGAGAAGATGGGTGAAGCAGATGGAAGATGATAAGGAAAATCTAAAATTCCATGTGTAGAAAGCAAAACTTATTAAGGAGAGAACCAACCTAGAACTAAGGAGAAATTTCCTAATAGTGAGAATAATTAATCAGTGGAACGGCTTGCCTTCAGAAATTATGGGTGCTCCATCACTGGAAGCTTTTAAGAAGAGATTGGACAGCCACTTGTCTGGAATGGTATAGAGCTGTGATGGCGAACTGGAAAACATGGGAAACTCTTAAGAGATGGAGGAGGAGGAGGAATTCTAAGATAATTCTTAGAATTATCAAGCTAAACAAAATACTGGTTGTACTATTAAAGACTTGAGTAGGGGGCACTTGTAGAAAAGCAAGTTGTAAATATCGTTGGCATCTACAAAAATTTAAGATTCAAAACTACTCCAACCCCTCCCAAACTACTTCGGGGCAATCCCCAACTTTTCAAAAAGTAGGGATATCGCTCCTTATATTGCTCAGAATAATGAAGATGCAGCTTTTCTCCTCAGCCTATGTGGTTTCTCTCATTTCCTGCTTTTCAAAAGCGAGGTACAATCACTACTAGATGTATTTCTAGTTTGTTTCTGCTTCTGCTCAGTTCATCTGCTCAGTGCATCTTCAAACCACAAAACTTGTCTTTGGATGAGATCCAGTTACTTTTTCTTTCTAGAGAAATATCTCTCTTTTCTTGAGAATAAGTAATGTTCCATGAATATTTGACACACAGACACACAAAATGGAACATGACTCCATTCAGTCTTCTTCACGGGGTAGTGAGTGGGAGATCTCGTTTTATACACCGTCTAGACATGGGGTCTCCAACCTTGGCAACTTTAAGCCTTGTGGACTTCAACTCCCAGAGTTCCTCAGCCAGGCTTAAAGTTGCCAAGGTTGGAGACCCCATGTCTAGACTTCCGCAGGAGTGTCAAACCTGCGGCCCGTGGGCCAGATGCGTCACACACTGGCCACGCCCACCCTGGTTTAGCGAAGGGGGAGGGAAGTCGCGATATGTCACGTGACGACAATGTGATGCCACGAGTTTGACACCCATGATCTAGAGTTTTCACGTGATCCCCTTTTGCGACCTGACTAGGTGGCTAGTCTGACTTAAGTGGCTCAGTGGCTAAGACTTCTTGAGCTTGTCGATCAGAAAGGTCGGCAGTTCGGCGGTTCGAATCCCTAGTACAGGTCTTCCTGCCGCGAGCAGGGGGTTGGACTAGATGACCTCCAAGGTCCCTTTCCAACTGTTGAAGTTGTTGACCTTCTGACAAGCAGAAGTCCATGGGGAAAGCCGGATTCACTTAACAACCGGGTTACTAACTTATCAACGGCAGTGTTTTTCGCTTAACAACTGTGGCAAGAAAGGACGTAAAATGGGGGCAACAAAAGGTCTCGCTTAACAACAGAAAGGTTGGAGGGGCGGGAGGGAGGAGGGGGGGGGCTCCACTGTGGTCGTAAGTCGGGGACTGCCTGCATCTTATTACCACCGGCTCTTTTACAAAGCAGAGGCAGGGAAGCCACGCCCTTCGCTCCTCCCCGCGGGGGCCGATACCAAAGTCCGGATTGGTTGTCCTGTTCGCTCGGCCCCGCCCATCCCCGCCCCGCGCGCTCGGCCCCGCCCCCTTCGCCATAAATCACCTGTTGCGGCTTCCGGCCGGGCTGCGAGAGGGGAGCCGGAAGTGGCTGCCTCGGCGGCGAGATGGCGTCCGCAGGCTCCCCGGTGGACCGGCTGCCCCCGCCCTTCCCGGTGGAGGCGGAGGCGGCCGAGGCGACCCACAGCGACCCCCAAGCGGACAGCGACTCGGAAGGGGAAGATATTTTCACCGGCAACGCCGTGAGTGACCCCTCTGTGTGGGGGGGGGAAAAGGAGGGGGGGCTACCGCCCAGCCCCTTTTTTCGGGAGGGAGGGGGGGCCGTGTGAACCTTGCAAAAGTGGGGAGCCCCCCTTCACCCTCCCCCCATTTCCCCCCCCCCCGTCCCGCTCCTGCAGCCTCGGAAAGTTTCCCCTGCTGGGCTGCTCTCCTGGGATGTATGTGTGTGTGTGTGTAAATATATATGTGTGTGTGTGTGTGTGTGTGTGTGTGTGCTTGGGAGGACTACAGCTCCCATCATCCCCGGCCCTGCAGCCCCAGCCTCCCCTGCAGATAATGATGTTGATTTCCCCAACCTCCAAGTCCAACCAAAACTATGGCAAGCTTGGAGTGACCCCTGTGTGTGTATTGGGGGGGGGGGGGTACCGCCCAGCCCCTTTTTTCGGGGGGAGGGAGGGGGGGGATCGTGTGAACCTTGCAAAAGGGGGGAGCCCCCCTTAACCCCCCCATTTCCCCCCCCCGTCTTGCTCCTGCAGCCTCGGAAAGTTTCCCCTGCTGGGCTGCTCTCCCGGGGGGTGTGTGTGTGTGTGTGTATAATATATATATGTATGTATATGTATATGTATATATGTATATCTATGTATGTATGTATATGTGTATATATATGTATTTATATGCTTAGGAGGACTACAGCTCCCATCATCCCCGGCCTTGCAGCCCCAGCCTCCCCTGCAGATAATGATGTTGATTTCCCCAACCTCCAAGTGCAACCAAACTATGGCAAGCTTGGAGGAAAGTCGGTTCCCCCACCCACCCACCCACCCATGGAGGGACCCCCCCCACCCGGGATTTGCACCCCAGGAATCCCCAGAGGAGTTTTTTTTGGGGGGGGTGTTATTTTGGGAGTGGGGTGGGGAGCCGCTTCCCCTCCTCGGTTCCTGGGGGTGTCTGTTGGCCTGGATGGAAAGAGGGTCTCCGGAGAGGGGAAGGGGGTGTCTGTTGTGTGGAGGTTTGGGTGGTTTAGGGGTGGGTGGGTGGAGGTGTGTTTGGGGATTGTTATGTGTGTTGCACCTGGTCTTTGGGTGTTAAGTGAATTTCGTTGTATGGGTATACTGTGTATACATGTACAATGACAATAAAGTTATTATTATTATTATTTTGGTGGGGGGACTTGGCTCAGGATGATGGGAGTGGGAGTCCAGCCTTATCTCCGGCTCTCTGTGTCTGTCCCTGGGGGGTGCAACCTGGGCAGGGCACCCCACCCCACCTGGTGTTCTGCCCTAGGAAAGCCCGTTTGCCTTTTTAAAGCTTCCATCATGGGCTTGTTTTGCAAAAGAGTTGCAATAGTGGTTTGTCTGTAAAGGGAAGAAAGCCTGGACCCCCGGGTTCAGGTTTTAAGGGTTGAAACTCTTGCTTGTTTCACAACAAGAAATGTTTTCTTCCCCCGTCTTCTTTCCCTTCTCGGGCTCTGCACCCCATCTTTGCTTTGGGTTGGTTTTGCTTCCTTGCAAAGGACTTTTTTTAATCTGAGGATTTAGTTGGAAGAATATGGGTGGTCCTTAACTCGCTTTCAAATCCCTTTGTAGAGCTGCCAATTATGATCTTGTTTAATTGAGCTGGTGCCCTTCCAGCGAATTCCATTCACAAAGACTTAAATCCTGGAAAGTGAAGTCCTCGTATCGATTTCCAAGTCTAGTCTACAGGCCTGGGATTCCTTAGTGGTCTCCCATCCCTGGAGCAACCGGATTGGATTCTGCTTAAACTTTTTAAATCGGTCGAGGCCAACTGAATGCTGTCGTTTTCTTCCAAAGTAGTGCAAACATTTAGCCATTTATTTATTAGACTCGTATCTCACCTTTTGGTCAGGGATTCAAGGTGGCATACCCAGCGTTCCCACCTCCCATTTTATCCTCACAGCAGTAACCCTGGAAGATAGGCTGGACTGAGAGAAGGCCAGAGTCATAAATGGGATTTTTGGGTGGGGGTGATAATATTTATCCTGGGTGTCCTCAATCTTAGTCCAATATCTAAAATCTATGCCACAAATACACAGCATGTGTTTACAATTCATAAACTGCTGGGTAGCTTACCATTTTTCAAAAACAAAATAAGGTAATGCCTTGGAATTTTGTTGTGCTTGGCTTTTAAATTCTGTTTGTTTATTCTTTTTAGCTGCATTTGTATCTTAGATGTATAAACTGCTTATGGAATACGCTAATGGGTATCTTAACCTTGGAATAATCTTTTAGTAATTCTGAAGATTTCCCAGCAGTAAAGACATTAATTTTATAATCTTGTGAATTATATGCTTATAATAGCATCTGCCGTTAAGCTGCCAGCACTAATAAAAAATATCCTTATGGCTGGAAAACTTATCTGAATGGAAGTGAAGTTTCTGTGGTCATGTCCCTCTTTCCCTTTCGACAGCAATCCTGCGGTGTGACAAATAGATGCAAAGGCCCTTTAAATGCAGTTTTGATGCAACAGTTATGTCTCATCTCTGCTTCCCCCCCCCAAAAAAAATCTTAACTGACGTGAATTTCAAGGCAAGGAGAATATATGGAAACTGGCTTTCTTGCACTACAAAAATCCAGAAAGAGTTAATTGATTGGTATAGGAGAAAAAAGTCAGGGGATTTGAGGCCGGGCCCCACCCTTGTTCCAAGGGGAAATGCTGAATGTAGGCAATTTATGCAATAACTGCAAAAAAAGAAAAAAGAAAAATACAGATGGAGTGAAACCTCCTGTGGAAAAGAAATCAAAATTTGGCATTTAGTTTCTGACGGTGGGTAGGGAAGAGTTATGCACATGTGAACATAGCAACAAAGCAGCTGAAGTTGGCTGTTGCACAGCTTTTCAGCAGAAAAAAATCTAAAATGTGGGAAGCCCCCTCCCATTGTGACCAGAACTAGGGTTTCATCGTGGTCAGCATGCTTTGGGTTCTTTGTGAAAATGCTAAAGGGGGGGGGTGGAGTGGGGCTAACAGAAAACAAACCATTGGAAGTAAAATAATTCACCCTTTTGAAATCGTATTATGGAATGTAAGAGTTCCTGGAAAAGCACGAGGAAAAAATAGAAGGCAAATCGTTTAGGAAAACTAGAACATAAAGAACACAAATCAATCTTTATTCGGTGGCAGAGCAGCAGATAAAAACTGCAAAAGTCAGAATTAGCGAGCACAATGAAACTCCTGTTTTTGCAAAGGGCTGGGGCTAGGAAAGAATGAAGAGGCTGCTAGCACTTTTACTGACTAACAAATTTTATTCAGAGGTAGAAACTTTCGTGAGCCCCAGCTCAGTTTAACACTCTGTAAATCTGAGGAAGTGAGCTGCAGCTCCGGAAAAGCTTTAAATGAAAAAGATACCATGTTTCCCCCAAAATAAGACCGAGCCTTATATTAATTTTTGCTCCAAAAGACGCATTATGGCTTATTTTCCAGTTAGGTCTTATTTTGGGGGGGAAATACAATACTAAACGCCTCCGTCTGGTTGACGATCTTAACTGGGGCTTATTTTGGGGGGGGGTAGGGCTTATATTACGAGCATCCTGAAAAATCGTGCTAGGGCTTATTTTCCGGTGGGGTCTTATTTTCGGGGAAACGAGGTCCTCTCAGACTAACTCTTCCTACGATGTCTCAGAACGAGGGTTGATATCATAGGTCAACTCTCCGCTCCATCTTACATTGTGAGAAAATGCCGTAAAGTTTTTGTATTTGCAGAAATATCCATTCCAAAGATACAGGATATAAGAAGAAGGGGGTACTACGGATTCTCACGGGTTCAGACAAAACAGGACAGTTACTTTGACCTGCAGTTCCGAGGGCTAAGGATTTCCTTAAGTGTCACCTGCAACGGGGTGACTCCGGTTTTGTTTCGAACCTGGCTTGTTCTACCCACACAAAGCCCTGACTTTTAGCAACCTACGGTTGTGTCTCTGGCGCCTCTTGGACCCGTCACCCTGTTCAGACAGCTATTGTCTTTGGCCAAAAATTGTCCTTGCTCAGCGAGGCAGACAGTGTCAAGGCTGTCTCCAGATATGTGGGGGGCGGGGGGGGGGGTGAGGGTAAGAGGCAGGGAGCCTTTATAAACCATGTGCTTGCTTGACAAAGCAGCCTTGGAAAAGGCATTGTTAATTTAACCCCTAAAGCAACGTAGGCATTTCCAGGCCTTGTTGGCTGTTTGAGGAAAAAAATATAAAGGTTTCCCTTGCATGTATATGCTAGTCGTTCCCGACTCTAGGGGGCAGTGCTCATCTCCGTTTCAAAGCCGAAGAGCCAGCGCTGTCCGAAGACGTCTCCGTGGTCACGTGGCCAGCATGACTCAAAGCCAAAGGCGCATGGAACGCTGTTACCTTCCCACCAAAGATGGTCCCTCTTTTTCTACTTGCATTTTTTACCTGCTTTCGAACTGCTAGGTTGGCAGAAGCTGGGACAAGTAACGGGAGCTCACCCCATTACGCGGCACTAGGGATTCGAACCGCTGAACTGCCGACCTTTCGATCGACAGTGTCTTAGCCACTGAGCCACCGTATTCCTAAACAAAATAATAATAATTTATACATGGATTCAAAACGGGAAGACTTTGCACAGGGCAGGAATGGGAAGCTTAGGGAAGCTGCCACCTGAGCCTGGAATATCACTAACTTGGGACAATACAGGTAGTCCTCGACTTACGAGCCCAAAATTTCTAAGTGGGAGAGTTAAGTGAGTTTTGCCCCATTTTATAACCTTCCTATAGTTTTTAAGTGAATCGCTGCAATTAGTAACACGGCTGTTAAGTGAATCTGGGCTTCCCCATGGACTTGGCTTGTCGGAAGGTCACAAAAGTGAATCACATGACCCCAGGACATGGCAACCGTCATAAATAGTCAGTTGCCAAGTGTCTGAATTTTGATCATGTGACTCTGGGGGATGCTTTAATAGTCGTAAGTGAGAAAAAATGGCCGTAAGTCACTTTTTTTTCCGGTGCAGTTGTAGCCTCGTATTGGTCATTAAATGAACTGTTGTAAATCGAGGAACTACCTCTATAGGCCAGGACTGCCAAACTCTTTGGCTAGGTCTTTCTGCCTATGTGTTAATCAGGAATGATATCCAGCAGGTTCTGACAGGTTCTGAAGAACCGGTAGGAGAAATTTTGAGCAGTTCGGAGAACCGGCAAATACCACCTCTGACTGGCCCCAAAGTGGGGAAGGAATGGGGAATGTGCACTACCCTTCCCCTGCCACGCCCACCAAGCCACACCCACAGAACCAGTAGTAAAAAAAAATTTGGATTGCACCACTGATGTTAATAACCAGATTTGATTCTGCAGCTTGGAATAACAGCCACTTCTCTACCCTCATAGAGCAAGCCAGAGTTCCCCAGGAAGGAATCCCCAGTGCCGCTGGAAAACGATTTAGAAACAAATGGCATCCAGGAAGAACAAGAAGATCCGGATTTATTTGCAGGTTGGTTGTGTTGTATGTCACGGTGGAAAGAGGGTGATAATTTGTGTGGCTCAACTTAGCAATAGCTGTAGCACTTAGACTTATATACCTGTTCACAGTGCTTTACAGCCCCTCTCTAAGCGGTTTACAGAGTCAGCCTCTTGCCCCCAACAATCTGGGTCCTCATTTTACCCACCTGGGAAGGATGGGAAGGCTGAGTCAACCTTGAGCCAGTCAGGATCGAACTGCTGGCAGCTGGCAGAATTAGCATGTAATACGGCATTCTCACCACTGTACAGGGAGGAAGGAAAGAATGGAAGGAAGGAAGGAATAGCAATAGCACTTACACTTATATACCACTTCATAGGGCTTCACAGCCCTCTCTAAGAGGTTTACAGAGTCAGTATATTGCCCCCAACAATCTGCGTCCTCATTTGACCCACCTCAGTAGGACGGAAGGCTGAGTTAACCTGGAGCTTGGTGAGATTCGATCTGCCAAACTGCTGGCAGCCATCAGTCAGCAGAAGTAGCCTGCGGTTCTGCACTCTTAACCACTGCGCCACCGCCGCTCAGTGGGATGACTCTGAGCAGCTAACAACAATCGGAGACACAAAATAAATAAAAAAATAAAGATAAAAGATGGCAAAGGCAATAAAGTAACGGAGGTGGTGGCCCAGTACAAGTAGCTTCTTGTTACATCTTCTTGGATTTGATTTGATTGTCAATTTCTAAAGAGAATGCACCAAGTAAATGATTCGACTTAGTGATGTAATTCTTACCAGGAATATCTTTCGATGTTCACCAGAAGTCAGGAAGTGACTCCCTACTCTGGGATGAAATTCTACAGACTATCCTCAGTCAGGGAATTTCATCCATGGCTTTTTTCTTTTTTTTTAAATCAATTTGTCCTTTTACAGATGCCACTGTTGAACTGTCCCTGGATAATACCCAAAACCACCCAAAGAAGGAGACGACAACAGTGTTCAGTCCTGTCCCCTCTCTAGAAAAACCAAGCCATTCCTCTTCTAACCAGCAGTCCAAAACCTATGAGGAGGTAAGTGCTTTTGTGTTTGGCTAATTATTCAGTTGGATTATTCGGCTAATTATTCCCTTGGACTGCAAGGCGATCAAACTGGCCAGTCCTAGAGGAGATCAACCCTTGACTGCTCTTTAGAAGGCCCTACCTTTCAGGATATAATTGCTAGGAAAAGCAGCATGAAAGTAACACACACAAACAAAAGCACTACAAATGCTTTAAAAAAAAAAAAAAAGCAGCTAAGATGTTTCCCAAAGAGCAGTGAGAGAGGAAAGCTGGAGACAGCTGAGCAGGGTTGAAATCCACTTATCTTCGCTACCGGTTTGCAAATGGAAGCTTGCGCGCAACACCTCTGCACATGCGCAGAGTGTCAAAAATGGGATGTGATGATGTCTAGGGGGAGCCTCCCTCCACCCGAGCCGGATAGAACCAGCTGTATTTCACCACTGCAGCTGAGGTTTCTGACGGGGTCTCCACCTGCTTTCCTATCTCTCTTTCCAACGTTGTGTGTCGTACTGTAGGAGATGACCGGGCTGTGCCCGAGGGAGGGATCTAAGTCCAGCCCATCTTGAGTTCCGTTGATTCTTATCTCCCGCCTATCTGCTTTGACTGTTAGTAGTTCAGATTCTTGCTGAGAACGTTATCGTGCCATAAACCTTGATTCGTTTGAGCCGTCTTGGTTCCTGATTTCCTCCGCTTCACAACCTACCTTAAGTAAGTCCCAAGAAAAGCTTCTGACATCCGTGTAATCTTTCCTTCCTTCCTTCCTTCCTACCTAGCTAGAAGAGGAAGAGCAGGAAGATCAGTTTGAACTTTCCGTGGAAGTGAGCGATCCAGAGAAAATTGGTGAGTCACCGTGAAACGGAAAGAGTTTGACAAGAGTCGTGTAGGGTTTAACTCTGTTGGACGTGCAGCCGTTCCCTAAATCCATTATATCCACCTTCTGACTGGATTATCCAGAAGAAAAAGAAAAAAAGGCAAAGAGCAAAGGGGGAGAGACGGTTTCAATCATTTGTGAAGGGGGAAGGGTGTAAGAACAGCAGGGTGTATTTTTTGCTTATCGTTATTTGGCTGAGATTTATTTATTTTTAATTTTTTTAAAGCAACTTGCTAGTCCTCATGGAGAGACACTAAAAATGGAGGATTCAGATAGCATTGTTGCTACCCTGAGGGGTTTTTTTTAAAGAGCCTTGGACACCTGCCATGTCGGTATTTTCCTTCTGACTTCTCCAGTGAGGTCAGGTTTCCCCATCAGTAGCATCCTATCCTCCACCTACCCCTGCGGAGTGGATTAGGTTCAAAGCAAGTGATCCAAACTCACCTGTAAAGAACGAGTTCGAATCCCAGAAAGGGTATGGCTAGCTGATAAGAGCTATATAGCTTGAAATAGATCTATACTAGTCTCCCTTTATTTCTTTGTCGGCAAAAACATAAATTCAACAGTACAGAACTGAGTTTTGGTTTCCTCTTTCCTCTTTTTTGAATCATAAGATACAACACTTAATGATGGTCATAGGGAACAAATAAGCAATCAAATCATACTAGGAAAACAATATAAACCGTAAGGCTACAGCAACAAGTTATAGTCATACAGTCATAAGTGAGAGGAGATAGGTGATGGGAACGATGAGAAGATTAATAGTAATGCAGACCTAGTGAATACTTTGACAGCGTTGAAAGAATTATTTGTTTAGCAGAGTGATGGCGTTCGGGAGAAAACTGTCCTTGTGTCTAGTTGTTCTGGTGTGCAGTGCTCTATAGCATCGTTTTGAGGGTAGGAGTTGAAACAGTTTATGTCCAGGATGTGAGGGGTCTGTAGATATTTTCACAGCCCTCTTTTTGACTTGTGTAGTATATAGTATGTTTGTTTGTTTGTTTGTTTGTTTGTTTGTTTATTAGTTTGATTTATATGCTGCCCTTCTCTGGAGACTCAGGGTGGCTTACAATGCTTTTAAGCAATAGCCTTCATACTTTTGTATATACCTGCTTAGTAGGGCTTTTGCCCCCTCCTAAGCAGTGTCCTTTTTTATACAAAGTCAGCTTATTGCCCCCACAAACCGGGTCCTCATTTTACTTACCTCGGAAGGATGGAAGGCTGAGTCAACCTTGAGCCTGGTGAGAATTGAACTCACAGTAATTGCAGGCAGCTGGCAGCTAAGTGCTACTTTAACAGTAGTTTAGTCCACTGCACCACCAGGCTCCTGGTGTATACAGGTATTGTCCTTGAAGAAGAAGCAGCTGCAAAACCTGATTGCATTTAGTGCAACTTTCATGGCAGCTGCATAAACAAGTACCTGTCAATGCAGGGTTATGTCAGGGAAACTCTGTGCCTGGGGAATATTCTCCGCTCGGCTTTAGGCTTGTGACTGTCTCGAACGAAAGCCGTCTGCCCCAAAGGGATCGCTTGGCCAACTCTCAACCCCCTTCCTCTTTCTGTGGGCTGTGTGTTTTCTTCAGCTGCTTTAGTTGTCTAACAGCCACTTCATTGTTCAGCGTGGGGCAGATGTGGAAGGCTCCCTCTCCCCTAGCCATGTAACAAGCCCTTAATTCTTGCATCAGCCTGATATTTGTAGGAAGCGGAGCTCGGTGTGTGGCTCGGATTCTCTCCGTTCCACTGGAGCCCTGGATCGATCCACCGGTTGCTTGGAAGTTCTGAGTGGCTTTTATTTTATTTTATTTTATTTTAATGTCAGCTGAAGCAAGGAATGAGAAAGATGCCCTTGCTCGGTTGGCATTGATAGTACATCGACAGAGGGAGAATTCGGCATTAGAGAATGCTCTTTTTTTGAAAGGAAGTGAGGTTTTAATCCTTAGGCGTCTAAATAAGATGGTTCTTCCACCCCGGGAAAGAGGGAGGGGAAACTCTACTCCAACTTCGGGAGAGCTTGTGCAGCTTCAAAATCTGGAAAAGTTTTTTTTTTCCCCCCTGAAATCTCAGGATCGCATGATGGACTGAAAAGGAAGCCCTCTTGAGTTTTGGCACCCGGGCCTTGAAAAGCGAATGTCACAAACGGGCACCGTTTGTGCAAAAGAAATCATGTCAATATAGTTAGTCGTCGACTTTTAACGACCACAACTGAGCCCAAAATTGATGTTGCTAAGTGAGAAATTCGTTCAGTGGGTTTTGTCCCATTTTACAGCTTTCCCTGCCCCCGTTTGTAAAGCGAATCACGGCAGTTCTTAAATGAGTCACGCCGTGGTTAAGTGAATCTTGGCGTCCCCGTTGACTTGGCTTGTCAGAAGGTCGCAAAAAGGGGTCACGCGACCATCATAAATATGAATCAGCTGCCATGCAGCCGAATTTCGATGACGTGACCAACAGGGATGCTGCAACGGTCATAAGTGTGAAAAATGGTCATTAGTCACCTTTTGCAGTGCCATTGTAACTTTGAAAGGTCACTAAACAAACTGTTGTAAGTTGAGAACAACCGTTAGTAACCATTTGTGTACAGCGTGTGTGTATACATAAAGGTATGTGTATTGAGGTTTTCAAACATATTTTTACTCTTAGTGTAATTTTAACGTATGTAAACTGCCTAGAGATAAAAACCAGTTTGGGTTAGTGATTAAAGACCGGGCTAAAAAAACCACACGTATTTTGTGTGGAGTTGGTGAGGATTAAGGAAGTAAACACCTGTAATTGTTTGAATAAAATCCTGGTTGAAAACATTCTAGCTGTTGATTAAGCCTATGAATCATTTTAGAAGTCCCAAGTTGTTAGCAGAAAAAAAATCCAAGGACTGTCCTTGACAATGGATTCCTCTGTGCTGACAGACGCCCACAAAGAAAGCACGTTTAACCCCAAATTACTAAGCGTCCCGGTTATTACAGCTTTGCTGAAGCTGTTAAAAGTCTCAATTTTCTTTTTTTTTTTGTTCCTGCAGGAGATGGAATGAATGCCTACGTCGCTTACAAAGTGTCCACAAAGGTACGCCAGCTCTGATTTCTTCTTCCCCGTTGCTGCCAAGGCATTGGGTCCGTTTAAGTCAAGAGTTTTCTGATCTCGGGAATTTCCAGGAGTGTGGCTCCTTCAACTCCCAGAATGCCACCGCCAGCATCACCATCGATGAGAATTCTTTAAAACTCTTAACACTCTTTAAAACAATGTTTTCTCAACCTTGGCCACTCTGCTGGCTGGGGAATTCTGGGAGTTGAAGTCCACACATCGTCCAGCGGCCAAGGTTGAGAAACACTGCTTTAGAACAACAACTGTGATGGCCTCACGATGGCACCAAGCGTTTAAACTTTGCTAGGCAACTTTTGTTTTCTAAATGAACTTCATGCAGCCACAAAAAACTCCACGAGGCTCAGCTTTCCGGTCATTTCCTGTCTCTCTGCGTGGGAGGTTCTGTGTGTGGCGGCTTTGTCTTCAGGACTTCATGGTATTCAGAAGAGGAACTCTTGTCTTTTTTATTTCCCCCTTTTCAAAGGGGGCCCAGCATGTTCTCCAAACTCACAGGTTGTCTCTGATGATCTCTTAGCAAAGCCACCCCATGGATGGTCTGGAACAATAGCAGTCCATTGGAACAATAACCTCATCTGTTCATTTCCTCCTCCTCCTCCTCTTTCCCTTCTCCTCCTCTCTTCTCCCTCCCTCCCTTCCTCCTGTCTCTCTCCTCCTCCTCCTTCTCCTCCTCTCTTCTCCCTTCCTTCCTCCTCCTCCTCCTTCCTTCTCCTCCTCCTCCTCTCTCCTCTCTCCCTTCCTCCTCCTCCTCCCTCCTCCTCCTTCCTTCTCTCCTTCTTCCTCCCTCCTCCTGTCTCCCTCCTCCTCCTCCGCCTTCCTCCTCCTCTCTCTCCCTCCCTCCCTCCCTTCCTCCTGTCTTTCTCCTCCTTCTCCTTCTCTCTCCTCCCTCCCTTTCTCCTCCTCCTCCTCCTCCCTCCTCCTCCTCCTCCTCTCTCCTCCCTCCCTTCCTCCTCTCTCCTCCCTCCCTCCTCCTCCTGTCTCCCTCCTCCGCCTTCCTCCTCTCTCCTCCTTCCTCCTCCTCTCTCCTCCCTCCCTTCCTCCTCCTGTCTTTCTCCTCCTCATCATCCTTCCTGCTCCTCCTCCTCTCTCCTCCCTCCTCCTCCTTCCTTCTCCTCTCTCCTCCTCTCTCTTCCCTCCCTCCCTCCTCCTCCTGTCCCCCCCCCTCCTCCTTCCTTCTCCTCCTCCTTCTCTCTCCTCTTCAAGGCTTTGTTTAATTTTATTTTTCCCCCAGCTCCTAAATGCCACACAAGGAGAGTTTGCAGCTCTTTTGGGAAATCAAAAGATTTCCCTGTATAACAGGTGCATTAAGCCTACCGAGTTTGGTGCCAAAATGCAGAGATAGGGGGGCGGGGGGGGAGAGAGATAGGCAGGTGGGGTGAGTATAACAGGAAACAGTCGCTCACCTTACACTGGCTCAGGTCTGGGAGGGACCAAGCCCCTCACATCCGCATTCCAAAAGCTCCCCGGCGCATTTGATTTCAGTCCTTCCGACTGACCCCATAGAAGGCAGGTGCCCCTCAATTACACCCTCCTTTCATTGATGTGCCGCGTCTTTGCAGCGCTTCGGTTTCCAATTCGTTGCCGTTTGCCAGCTGGCAAAAAAAATATACCTCGTGCACCTTCCAAATATCCGCACAACTGGGTCAGCATGTCCTCTCAGCTAGAGTTGCGTCCAAATCCTTTTCCAAGCTTCACGGCCAGCTACTTTTGAAACGGAGAGGAGACGCCCCCCCCCCCCCCAAAAAAACCTCAAAACTCTCACAAGTGTGAATTGGCAACCTTGCCGAAAGGGAAACGACCCGGGGCTTGGCTACACAAAAGCCTCTTTTATCCCAGTTGCCTTTGGTCTCTTCAAGAGTTCAGCAACTTCACCTCTAGCATTGTTTTTTTTTTCCCCTGTCCTTTTTAAAAACACTTAAATGCATCGAGTTGTATTTCGAGCCAGACTTCTCCGCTCCACCGAGTCCACTCCACAGGGTTGTGGGAGGTGGGGAATAAGAGGCAGGAGTATTAAGTGCTTGTCATCATGAGCGAGAGATGTCTATGGAGATTCTATGTCATCCAGGTCATGGTTTATTATTATTTATTATTTGATTATTCATATTTCTATGCCGCCCACTCTCCGAGGACTCTGGGCGGCTTACACCAAAGACAGTATACTAAATAGCATATTGCCCCCAACAATCTGGGTCCTCATTTTACCCACCTCGGAAGGATAGAAGGCTGAGTCAACCTTGAGCCGGTGAGATTTGATCCACTGATCTGCTGAACTAGCAGTCAGCTGAAGTAGCTGCAATATTGCACCCTAACCACTGCGCCACCTCGGCTCCTCCATGATTGTCCCAAAGGTGCTTTTTCAGGAAGCAACTGGATTTTCTGGTTTTTCTTTGAAGACGTTTCGCTTCTCATCTAAGAAGCTTCTTCAGCTCTGACTGGATGGTGGGGAACGGAAGGATTTATCTTCCTTGCAGACAGCTGGTCATTTGCATCCTTTTTAGAGAGTCGTGGAGGCCGCTTGGAGGTTTATCTTGTCTCCCTGAGGAAATCCTTCCATTCCCCCACCATCCAGTCAGAGCTGAAGAAGCTTCTTGGGTGAGAAGCGAAATGTTCTTTAAAGAAAAAAAACCAGAAAGTCCACTTGCCTCTTGAGAAAAAGGCCCTTAGGGACTTAAGAGAAAGAATGAAAAACATGGGAGAACAATATTATAATGTATTGCTTGTCGATAGCCAAGTTGCGTGTCCCGTACAATCCTGAATGTCATTTCTGAAAAGTTGTAGGCTCTTTTTTGTTTTAAGCGTGGGTAGAAAGGCAGACTTTCTGTACACACAATTCAGGTGTTTCAATCCAGGTGTATGTACGTGCAGTTGTATCTCTGAGTTAACCTGTTGCATTAAAGTCGGCCAGTCCAACCTCCTGCCCATAGCAACATTCATTAAAGCAACATTTCTCAGTTTGAGCCGACATGCCAGCAGGGGAATTCTGGGAGTTGAAGTCCACACCTCTTAAAGTTGCCCTCCCAGCGCGCTTCAGGTATATATCTCTGACAGATGCTCATCCAGCTTCGAGCTCTGAGTTTGGTCATTTCCTCTGGAGCCATCAAGAATACACCTGTTCCCTCTTATGTGAAACACCCTTCACATATTTGAGAATCGGTCTCTGTCGTATCATGAGCCGCGGTGGCGCAGTGGTTAGAGTGCAGTACTGCAGGCGACTTCTGCTGACTGCTGGCTGCCTGCAATTTGGCAGTTCGAATCTCACCAGGCTCAAGGTTGACTCAGCCTTCCGTCCTTCCGAGGTGGGTCAAATGAGGACCCAGATTGTTGGGGGCAAAAGGTTGACTCTGTAAACCCCTTAGAGAGGGTTGTGAAGCAATGTGAAGCGGTATATAAGTCTAAGTGCTACTGCTATTGCCCTTCCTTCCTTCCATCCATGCATCCATCATTTGCAGTGGTTAGAATGCAGTATTGCAGGCTGACTCTGCCCACTGCCAGGAGTTCAGTCCTGACCAGCTCAAAGTTGACCCAGCCTTCCATCCTTCTGAGGTTAGTAAAATGAGGACCCAGATTGTTGGGGGCCAAGATGCTGACTCTGTAAACCGCTTAGGGAGGGCTGTAAAAGCACTGTGAAGCAGTATATAAGGTCTGTTGCTATCAATACTCCTGTTTTGCTAACCGGATTCTTCCCTGTCCCTCAGACCACTCTGCCTATGTTCAGGATCCAGCAGTTCTCCGTGAAGAGACGATTCAGTGATTTTCTGGGCTTATACGAGAAGCTTCTGGAGAAACACGCCCAGCACGGAATCATTGTCCCTCCTCCTCCTGAGAAGAGTTTAATAGGTGAGAATGCCAGCAACGGCTTTTATTGCGTCTCCCGAGTTCAAACATAACCGGTAGATCTCGACTTTAAATCGTTTCTTTAGTGACTGTGTAAAGTTACAAAGACATTGTAAAAAGTGACTTTGGACCGTTTTTCACACAGCGTCCCCAACAATCACGGGGTCAAAATTCAGAGGAATGGAAATGGACTCACATTTATGATAGTTGCGGTGTCCCGGGGATCCCTTTTTGCGACCACCTGACACGCAAAGTCAATGGGGGGAACCAGATTCACTGGAACACTCCATGTTACTAACGCTAACAACTGCAGGGGTTCACTTAACAACTGTGACAAGGAAGGTTATAAAAGCAGGCAAAACCTTACGACTGTCTTGCTTAACAATGGAAATGTGGGTTCAGTTAGGATTGTAGGTTAAGGACCCACCTGTACTGGCCTAGCTTCACACATTACCGCATACCAGAATAACGGGGGGGGGGGATTTATTAGTCCCTAGTTGAGACTTCTGAGCCCTGCAGACTCACCTGTCTGGAGGGAAACTCTGAAAGGCAATATCTAAATTGGGGATCTCCAACCTTGGCAACTTTCAGACTTGTGGACTTCAACTCCCAGAGTTCCTCAGCCAGCTGGGACGCGGTGGCTAAGGCACTGAGCTTGTCGATCGAAAGGTCGGCAGTTCAGCGGTTCGAATCCCTAGTGCCGCATAACGGGGTGAGCTCCCGTGACTTGTCCCAGCTTCTGCCAACCTAGCAGTTCGAAAGCCCGTAAAAAATGCAAGTAGAAAAAACAGGGACCACCTTTGGTGGGAAGGTAACAGTGTTCCGTGCGCCTTTGGCGTTGAGTCATGCCGGCCACATGGCCACGGAGACGTCTTCAGACAGCGCTGGCTCTTCGGCTTTGAAACAGAGATGAGCACTGCCCCCTAGAGTTGGGAATAACTGGGACGTATCTGCGAGGGGAACCTTTATATTCCATGCAGGTAACTTCGATTCTTTTTTTTTTTTTTCTCTTGTCTCAGGAATGACCAAAGTCAAAGTTGGAAAAGAAGATTCTTCCTCCACAGAATTCTTAGAGAAACGAAGAGCTGCCTTAGAAAGGTTTGGGCTTTTGTGTTCCTCATTGGCGGCTATTGCCAACCACAAGGTGGTGCAGTTGGTTTTGTTACTCTACTCTACTCTACCCCTACTCTGGGTAGGGAAATTTGCCTTGTTAGGAAGAAGCTTCTGGGCTCACCCAGCTTGTGATCGAGAGAAACAAAGGACCAATGCATCTCAGACGTCCCCAGATATTTACTGTTGGAGGCCCTTTGAAGGATCTCATTCTCATTTCAGCCCGTCGGGAATGAATTGCAGGAGAAACCTGTCCTTCCAAAATTCTTCAGAGATTTATTTAGTTAGGGCTGTTCCTGTGAGCAGTCGATGGAAATTGTTCTCTGGAACCTGGCTCCTGAAATCTGATCCTCTTGTCTGGAAGGAATTCCCGGAGAAATTATAGTAGTGGCCAAAATTGTGGAAACCTTTTGGCAAAAGTGTATTTTTGAGGTTTGATGGCTAATAACACCACTTTTGGGGGGGGGGGAGTTTCAAGATAATCCTATTCCACTGCTGGAATGGCCTGGGAACAGCCCAAACCTTCACCCAATTGAAAATCTATGGAGCCAACTAAAGAAACTAGTTAGTCAGAAGCGACCCAGCAATTAAACCCAGTTCATAGAAGCCATCCTTCAATCTTGGTTTCACATTATAACAGCTGCAGAACTAAAACACTTGGTTCACTCCATGGGAAGAGGTTGTAAGGCTGTAATAATTCATGCTAAAGGTTACCCAACTAAGTATTAACTGACACGGTGATCATTTTTGCATATCTCATTTTTTCTACCTGTTTCACTTTTCTTCTTTCTACTGTAACTGCTATTCTAATAGCAAATCCTTCATAAAAGTGATGGCATTACATCCTTGATTACATTATCTTTCCATTGATATAGAATTTTATGGTACTATTGCTCCCCAAAAAAGTGGTGTTATTAGCTAGTTTTAGAAAATACACTTTTCCCAAAAGGTTTCCACAATTTTGGTCACTACTGTATGTCTGAGGAAATTCACCCAGATGGAAATGGCTTCTAATCTCTCCCCCGAACACAGAAATGAGAAGGGGAAGGCTCCAGGACAACTCCAGTTTTTCTTCTGGTTTTTTTTCATAATTCCAGTTTCAGTGGACACGTAATACCTCTCTTAAAGAAAGCTCAGTTCCCGGTGGACGCAGCCATCCTGTTTTCAAGCCACAACAAATCAGTTTCACCATTTCCTTTACCCAATATGTCTGGACTTCCCAGTCTATTCTGGCATTCCTTGGAGCGGCCCATTCCAAGTCCAATTTAGCTTTCCAGGCCAAGAAAGTCTGTAACAAGCCAGGAATCATCCAGTGAATTTCACAGTGGAGTGGAAACTGGAATCTGGGTCTCCTCACCTTGGTTTTGTTGATTTGTACCCCACTTTTTGTTCAAGAGACCAAGATGGTGTACACAAAGAACGTATCAAGTGTTTCTCAACCTTGGCAACGTTAAGATGAATGGACATCAACTCCCAGAATTCCCCAACCAGCATGGCTGGCTGGGGAATTCTGAGAGTTGACATCCACTCATCTTAAATTTGCTAAGGTTGAGAAATATTGGTGTATATATAATGAGAGCAGATATGGGGGCACATTGTAGCATAAATTGGACTGGGTTTGCGCCAATATAACCCTTCTTAATTTATCCACACCTGAAGGCAGGGAGAGGGCATATCTCTTTATATCTATCTATCTATCTATCTATCTATCTATCTATCTATCTATCTATCATCTATCTATCATCTATCTATCTATCTATCTATCTATCTATCTATCTATAGATATAGATATATAGATATATATTTGTTTTGTTTTATCAACAAGAATAAAATGCAAAACGGAAAAAACATACATCCAACACTAGAACAAAAGAAGGAAAAATGGTGTACAAAAAGGTGGGGAAATGACCCAAATATCAAATAAATCTAACATTATACATAAAGAATCCACTCCAGTTGGACTCTGGGAAAAAGAAAACCAGATAAATTCTCTATATAACGGGTCTGCAAATAGTTATAACCTCATAAGCTTTCCCATCCTTATTTAATAATACTATCATCGTCATCATTTAACGACCCCATAATCCCTGGCGGGGTGGAGTCTGGGCATCTGAATGGAGCTAGCAGAGCGTTTACTGGCCAGATGCCTTTCCTGTTGCCAATGGGGAGTTTTGTTCAGCAGATATTTTCTCATTGTGCTCAGAGAGAGAAATATCTGCCTCTACCTAGGATCGAACTCACAGCCTTCTGATTGTGAGGCAAGAGCTCCACCTCTCGGCCACTGCACCACTCCCATTTAATAATACTATATAAAATAAATATTCCCAGATGAGAGGATCTGTCTGATAAATCGACCCAACACCTAATCATAATATATAGGGGGCAGATCTGATTGTGAATCAACCATTAGAGTTATATTTTTTTAATCATCCTCCCCATCCCGACCCCTATACTAGTTGGTGGTTGGTTCTGTGATCAGGCCTCCTCTAATCCAGGGGTCTCCAACCTTGGCCACTTTCAAGACTTGTGGACTTCAACTCCCAGAATTCCAGAGCCAGCAAAGCAAAGCTGGCTGTGGAATTCTGGGAGTTGAAGTCCACAAGTCTTGAAAGTGGCCAAGGTTGGAGACCCCTACTCTAATCTATGGATGGTATCGGAGTACAAGCCTGCCTTGCAAAATTCTCTTTTAAAATGAGGGATTCTTCACGGATGTAAACGGAACTTCTGTATTCCAATTCCACAGATATATTCAAAGAACCGTAAGCCACCCCACTATGCTGCAGGACCCAGATGTCCGGGAATTCTTGGAAAAAGATGAGGTGGGTTGCTGCCATAATCGGGATCTGTGCTTTTATGGCCTAAGCCAGTGGCCCCCAATATTTTGGGCATCAGGTGCTGTGGCCTGCCAGCAGTCAGCGGATCTGGCAGCAGATTCGGACAGTGAGGAGGTTGGGGAGGAACATGGACTAGTCCTGGAGTCTGAGGAAGGCTCTGATGAGGGCTCTGCATCGGAGGCAGAGAGGGGGCCAGGGCCGGATGCCAGTTATCAGCTGCCTTCGGAGTCAGACATCAGTGAGGCAGACAAATAGCTGGAGCCTGTTCCCGTGTGCTCATGTGCAGTTGCCAGACGAAGGGAACAGCTAAAGAACAAGGGTCGACTTGGGAGTAAGGCCACAGGTGGACGATGAAGGGCCCCTCCCAGAGGGAATAAAAGAGGAGCGAAAGGGGAGTGGAGTTTGCAGGAGACAATTAGTTCTTGCCAAGTATTGCGGGGTCTGAAAGATATCGGCCTGGCCACTCTCCAAGCCTGATAAAGGTCGGTAATTGTGAACTTTTCAAGACAGTCTTTCAAGACTGTGGGAGAGGAAAGACTTTGCTGGAGAGGAATTCACTGAAAATTAAATAAAAGGGGTTTATTGGGACGAGGGCTCCGCTTCGTGCTGCTGGGGAAGGCTAGGTCAGAACACCAGGGACTGGTTCCATGGAGAGAGCTTTTTCCGAGGTCCAGAGGGGGCGTGGTTTGGCATGCTGCCTGCATCCATGTGTTGTGGCCCGTCAGCGGCCTGTGCAGATCGTAGCTGATTCCGACAGCGAGGAGGCTGGTGTGGTGCTGTGCCAGCAGCCTGTGCAGCTGGCGCTCGAGTCGGACAGTGAGGAGGCTGGAGAAGATGTGGTGCCAGAGGCAGGGATTCAGCCAGGGCCTTCAGACCTCCAGAAGCTCCCTTAAGTGAAGAGGAAGAAGAGGAGGAGCCTCTTCTCAATGCACGGGCGCGCAGAGAGTAAGGCTTGGGGCTAATTAGCCACTCCCTTAGCCTATTTAAGAAGGAACGCCGATTGCAACAAGCTGTAGAGAACAACTTTAGTTCACTCTCCTTCACGTCTGCAAAATTGCTTTCTGCCAACTCTAGTAAGACTACAGTTACCTTATCTTAGAATTCTGGTAGGCTGTTAAGACAGTTCATTAACAGCCTTTGAATGATAAAGACTAAATTATTTGAGTAAAAAAAAGCTTTGTATAGAGTTCGTGTGTGCGGCGTTCTTTGGGGTCCGTAGCTGGGACAGAACACCATGGAGGGGGCTTTGCTTGTTTGTGAGGTCCGGTTTCTGGCTTGCCACGGACCGGTGCCGGTTCACGGACCGGGGGTTGAGGACCCCTGGCCTCAGCAACCTTGGCATGAGGTTAATATTGGAGGAATTGACTCGTCGTTGTGGTTTTCGCTGTGCTTGAGCTCAATAGCCCTGTTTTCAGGAACAAACTGCTCTGCGAAAAGCGAGGGTGTGTGTGTGAAGTGGAAAGCCATATCAGCTTCTTTCAGGACAAGCCAAGCATGGGAAAAGAGTGACGCAGATTGGCTGGATGGAAGGGGGGGTTGAAGGCCTCTGCTGATTCAGCGGTTCCCCCTTTGTTCCTTTCTGCCGAACCGCGTTCAAATTAGGCTCCGGGTGACTGGGATTGCGACACATTCATGGAACTCGCCTCCTCTTCTGGCCACACCGACAGTCCAAATTCTCCGCTTTACAGAGAAGTTGTTTAAGAAGGGCTGGCATGAGAAAACTTTGCCTTTTTCTCCCTCCCACCTATAAGTTAAATATATCTCTTACTCCTTCCTCCTCCTCTTTTCCCCACAACGGCAACAACGACCCTGTGAGGTGGGTTGGGATGAAAGAAAGGAACTGCTCAGACACGCAGCCGGCTTTTGTGACTCACCATCTCCCTGGGATTGGCCCAAAGTCACCCCAACTGCTTTCATGCTTAAAGCGGGACTAGAACTCACCCTCTCCCGGTGATTGGCTCAAAGTCAACCAAGTGCTTTCATGCTTAAGGCGGGACTAGAACTCACCCTCTCCCAGTGATTGGCCCAAAGTCAACCAAGTGCTTTCATGCTTAAGGCGGGACTAGAACTCACCCTCTCCCGGTGATTGGCCCAAAGTCAACCAAGTGCTTTCATGCTTAAGGCGGGACTAGAACTCACCATCTCCTGGTGATTGGCCCAAAGTCACCCCAACTGCTTTCATGCTTAAGGCGGGACTAGAACTCACCCTCTCCCGGTGATTGGCTCAAAGTCAACCAAGTGCTTTCATGCTTAAGGTGGGACTAGAACTCACCATCTCCCGATGATTGGCCCAAAGTCAACCAAGTGCTTTCATGCTTAAGGTGGGACTAGAACTCACCCTCTCCCGATGATTGGCCCAAAGTCAACCAAGTGCTTTCATGCTTAAGGCGGGATTAGAACTCACCATCTCCCAGTGATTGGCCCAAAGTCACCCCAACTGCTTTCATGCTTAAGGCGGGACTAGAATTCACCATCTCCCGATGATTGGCCCAAAGTCAACCAAGTGCTTTCATGCTTAAGGCGGGATTAGAACTCACCATCTCCCAGTGATTGGCCCAAAGTCACCCCAACTGCTTTCATGCTTAAGGCAGGACTAGAACTCACCCTCTCCCGGTGATTGGCTCAAAGTCAATCAAGTGCCACGGAGACGTCTTCGGACAGCACTGGCTCTTTGGCTTTCGAACGGAGATGAGCACCGCCCCCTAGAGTCGGGAATGACTAGCACATATGTGCGAGGGGAACCTTTACCTTTAGAGGGTCGTTGAAGCACTTGGAAGTTTATCTGTGTCCTCAGCAGGGGTGGGTGTTACTTACTCTTTACTACCGGTTCCCCAGCCAGCTTCAATTCTGGGAGTTGAAGTCCATACATCTTAAAGGAATCAAGGTTGAGATGCAGTGATTTACCAAATAGGGACTGTGGTTGATTTTTTTTTTCTTCCCATCTTTTTTTTCAGTTGCCACGTGCTGTTGGCACCCAAACCTTGAGTGGAGCCGGCCTCCTGAAGATGTTCAACAGAGCCACCGATGCAGTCAGCAAAATGACCATCAAGATGAACGAATCGGACATTGTAAGCCGCTGAGCATTTCTTGATACATATGAAACCACTCTGTATGTTGTACCTGACTGGGTTGCCCGAGATTATCTGAATTCGCATTCTCTTCCTACAATGACGTGTTGGGGTTGGTTCTCGGCCCCGTCTCTCCTTTCTAGTGGTTTGAAGAGAAACTCCAGGAGGTGGAATTCGAGGAACAACGTCTGCGGAAGCTACACGCAGTTGTAGAAATGCTCGTCAATCACAGAAAAGGTAACTCCCTGGATGAAGTAGCTATGGGCAGTTGTAAAACTGTAGGGGTGGGGGTTGCATTTCAGCTTTACAAAAACTCAAGATTTGCATCTGGGACCTTGAGGTGAGTACAGGCAGTCCTCGGGTTAAGGATGTCCAACTTAAAGACGACCTCTAGAAAGCAGGGCACGTCACGAGTCCTACCAGTTAGGGACTGTCATCTGGTGTGACCATGAATAAAGGGCCTTCTCTGTGGTGGTCTCTTTGGCGCCATGATGGCTAAGTGGTCAGACTGTGGTATTGCAGGCTAACTGCCCACTGCCAGCAGTTCGATCCTCACCGGCTCAAGGTTGACTCAGCCTTCTGTCCTTCTGAGGTCATTAAAACGAGGACCCAGATTGTTGGGGGCAGTAGGCTGACTCTGTAAACCGCTTAGAGAGGGCTGGAAAGCACTGTGAAGCGGTATATAAATCTAAGTGCTATCATTATTATAAACCATTCCCCTCTAGGATACGGTTCCTCACCCTCTCCCCTCCCCATTACTTTTCTGAAAGGCCCAAAAATATGTTTTGTCAGCAGGCTTGGGAACCCCAAATGAAGCAGAGCCAATCAAGTGGTTTTATTGTGGTGTTGCTGCCATAAAGATATTGTTCTACTTTTCTTAATGCTTTTTATTATAAGGTGACTTTTAAAAAAATTGTAAGCCCCCGGTGTCATCTACAGTATATGTGAGTTGGATGGCTATATAAATTTGATTAATATTTATTTATTTATTATTTATTTATTTATATAGATAAATAAAACCCCTGGGTTAATTTATAAAGACAGGGAGGGCAGGGTAAGGTAAAAGTAAAGGTTCCTCTTGCACATACCTGCTAGTTGTTCCCGACTCTAGGGGGCGGCGCTCATCTCCGGTTCAAAGCCGAAGAGCCAGCACTGTCCAAAGACGTCTCCGTGGTCATGTGGCTGGCATGACTCAACGCCAAAGGCGCACGGAACGCTGTTCCCTTCCCACCAAAGGTGGTCCCTATTTTTTCTACTTGCATTTTTTACCTGCTTTCGAACTGCTAGGTTGGCAGAAGCTGGGACAAGTCACGGGAGCTCACCCCCGTTACGCGGCACTAGGGATTCGAACCGCTGAACTGCCGACCTTTCGATTGACAAGCTCAGTGTCTTAGCCACTGAGCCACCACGTCAGGGAGGGCAGAGTACTCTGCTCTATTTCCCAGAAACCTTAACTGGAGGATTAAAAGCAACAGATTTGGGGAGGGGGGGATTTGGTGGCATTCCCCCCGCATCTGGCACCATCATCATCATCATCTCCTCCTTGTGGTGTGTCCTTTGAGAGTCCTTTTCCCTGCTGGCTTTGGCAGTGGGTAATAATCTCACGCTCCCCCCCACCCTTCCGCCCTCCAGAGCTGTCGCTGAATACCTCTCAGTTTGCCAAGAGCCTGGCCATGCTGGGCAGCTCGGAGGACAACACGGCCTTGTCTCGGGCACTTTCCCAGCTGGCCGAGGTGGAAGAGAAGATCGAGCAGCTGCACCAGGAACAGGCCAACAGTGACTTCTTTCTCCTGGCGGAACTCCTGAGCGACTACATCCGTCTCCTGGCCGCCGTGAGGGTAAGGGCTGCTGGTGTCTCGCCCAAGGCAGGGCTGGATGGTGCCCGCACAGATCCTCGGCCATTGTGGGGGGGCGAGGGCTACGGCCAGTGGTGGGATTCAGCCGCTTTGAGCGAACCGGTAGTTAAATTGCTGGCAGGCCCATCCCCACCCCTTCCAGGACTCCTCACGTGCCCCATTTTGGCACGTAAGGAGGCCTCCTAGGGCCAAAACGGGGCGGGGGGGCGGTGCATCCCCCCCCCTCATGGCCCGTTTTTGCTCCCAGGGGAATGCAGGAGGCTAAGTGCTGCCTGTCACACACCCCTGGCCACGCCCACCCTGGCCACACCCACCCAGCCAGTCATTAGGGCAGAGAACCGGTCGTTAAATTATTTGAATCCCACCACTGGCTACACAAGTGGTCCATTAGGCTGGTAGGAGTCAATAAAGGAGAATATTTGTAGCTCAGGGTTGAAAGGAGGGGTAACGTTGGTGCCAAAAGGACATACCTTCGTGTCGAACAGAGAGCAAACGCCACTCCCTTGTAGCACTGATGATGTTACCTAGTTGGGTAATGAAACATCTGTAAGAAACGCACCAAGCTCAGAGACCACCAGGCAACGCTGGTAGGAGTTTACACCATTTAAGAGCCGAGGTGGTGCATTGGTTAGAATACAGTACTACAGGCTACTTCTGCTAACTGCTGGCTGCCTGCTGTTTAGCAGTTCGAATCTCCCCAGGCTCAAGGTTAACTCAATCTTCCATGCTTCCAAGGTTCGTAAAATGAGGACCCAGATTGTTGGGGGCAATAGGCTGACTCTGTGAACCGCTTAGAGAGGGCTGTAAAGCACTGTAAACAGGTATATAAGTGTAAGTGCTATTGCTAAGTGGGAAAGGAAGGAAGGAAGGACTGTGGTGGCACAGTGATTAGAATGCAGTATTGCAGGCAATCTCTGCTGACTGCCAGCAGTTCGATTCCAACAAGCTCAAGGTTGCCTCAGCCTTCCATCCTTCCGAGGTGGGTAAAACGAGGACCAGGATTGTTGGGGGCAAGAGGCTGACTTTGTAAACCGCTTAGAGAGGGCTGTAAAGCCCTGTGAAGCGGTATATAAATCTAAGTGCTATTGCTATTTACTCTGGACTTGTCACTGGTCTGAGCTCAGTGCCCCAGGGATGATCTGATGCTTCCAGTGATGAATCTCTCTCTCTCTCTCTCCACAGGGTGCCTTTGACCAGAGAATGAAGGCTTGGCAGCGTTGGCAAGATGCCCAGGTCACTCTGCAGAAGAAACGGGAAACGGAGGCCAGGCTTCTGTGGGCCAACAAACCTGACAAACTTCAGCAAGCCAAAGAGGAGATCTCCGAGGTGAGAGGGAAGCCTCTACTGAGCATGCCCAGCGCGGTTTCCTGAAACATTTGCGCCAAGCACAGCTTCCATTGGCACAGGCCAGCACGCACAGGCGCCTGATGCTCCTGCAAACGGAGCACACGTGTGGACACGTTTGCACGTGGAAATGCACACGTGTGCATGCTTCCCCGCTGTTTCCGCAGCCCGGTTGTTGCAAACGGCTCATGGCTCCGAGTTCGGGGACCCCTTTCGTAAAAAAATATACTTTTTAAAGGATGCACTTCTCTCCCAAATATAGTTGATGACGCAACATTGCTGTTTTGTTTAAACAGTTCTTTTATTATTATTATTATTATTATTATTATTATTATTATTATACAATATGACAAATACAAAATATGCAACATATATATATATATATATATACACACACACACACACACACACACACACACACACACACACACACACTTTTAACAGCTATTTCATTGTGGTGGTCTTCTAATATTTACATTCTCCCCCGTTTCCCTTTATGCTATTCCATTTTCTTCTTGTCCCTTTCTCTTTTAATTACATTGTACTTCTTAGCAATCATATTGATTTTATACATTCTATACATTGTCATATTCATTCTTTCCATTTTCAAATCTCACCCCTATTTTTATTATCCATTATTTCTAGTCTCTAACCACTCATACCATTTGTGCCAGATTATATAATATTCCGTATCTTCCTTTTCTTTTAGTTCTTTTGTTAATTTGTCCATCTCGGCACATTCTAGGTTTTTTTTTAATCAATTCTTCTTCTGTTGGTATAGTTTCCCTTTTCCAATTTTGTGCGTATGATATACGTGCAGCTGTTATAATATGTAAAATCAAATATTTTACTTCTTTGGTGTATTTTTCAGTAGATATCCCTAATAAGAATGTCTCTGGTTCTCCGTTCATAGGTTGCTCTATTATTTTCTCTAATCACTTTTTAATCTTAGCCCAGAATTTTTTTGCAGCTGGATACGTCTACCAAAGATGATAATATATTATGTAGCTCTTATTACATTTCCAAAATACTGGAGATTTATTCAGAAACATCTTCGCAAGTCTAGACTGAGGTAGATGCCATCTATAAAACATCTTCAACTGGTTTTCCTTATATGCTGTGGACATAGTTAATTTTGTATTTATTTGCCACATTTTTAAACAGTTCTTTTTTTTATTACTATTTCTATTTGTTCTCTATTTCTTAGTGGGAATCTCGCGTGACACAGTACGAACGGGAGTTTGAACGGCTCTCTGCCGTCCTCCGGAAAGAAGTCTTACGGTTTGAGGTAGGTAGGATGCCTCTTTTAACAGAGCAGAGCCCTCTCTCAGTTTCATGAGGGCCAAAGAAGCAGAACTAATGTAAGGAAACGTCTGCCTCCCACCCGCCACCCCCACCAAGGTTCACTTCCCTGATTTAAGAGAGCCTCGGATTCCCTTCCATCAGCAGCTTTCTCAGTCCAAGGAAAAAGGAAGGAGTCCTAGTGGGCAACCATTTAAATATGAGCCAACCGTGTGCAGCAACTGCCAAAAAAGCCAACACAGTTCTGGGCTGCATCAACAGAGGAATAGAATGAAGATCATGTGAAGTGTTAATTCCATTTTATAAGGCCTTAGTAAGGCCACACTTGCAAATACTGCATTCAGTTTTGGTCGCCACGGTGTAAAAAAGATGTGGAGACTCTAGAAAGAGTGCAGAGAAGAGCAGCAAAGATGATTAGGGGACTGGAGAACGGTTGCTGGAACTGGGTATGTCTACTTTGATGAAAAGAAGGACTAGGGGAGACATGATAGCAGTGTTCTAATATCTCAGGGGTTGCCACAAAGAAGAGGGAGTCAAGCTATTCTCCAAAGCACCTGAGGGCAGGACAAGAATGTGATCTAATTCTGGGTTTTATTTAATTGACCAAACTAAGTAATAATTTTAATTAGCAATTTTATGATGTTTGTGTGTCTATATTTTTCTTGACTGTACACCGCCTTGAGTCCTACGTGAGAAAGGCGGTATAGAAATATAATATAATATAATATAATATAATATAATATAATATATAAATAAATAAATAAATAAATAAATAAATAAATAAATAAATAAATAAATAAGAAGCTACCAATTTTCCAGAAGCTGTCAGAACCTGCTGGATTTCACCCCTAGTTTGCAGTATCCTGTACCGCACAAGATAACACGCATCTGTGTTTTTGTTTTTGTTTAAAAAAAAAAAACCTCCTTTCTTTACAGAAAGAAAAAACAAAAGTTTTCCGGACACATGTGACCAAATACCTGGAGACATTGCTCCATTCACAGCAGCAGGTGAGAGAGATTGTCCCGTGCATCCCCTTAGCACGTGTCACGTCCTGAATTTATTTATACACTTGGCTTATAAATAAATAGGGCATCTCCTACGTTGCTGCCTTCAGTCCCCTGCAAATGACAGGCACTTAGATGGACATTAGAAAGACCGGCTTTAGTCATCTCTATAAGGTGGAGCACTGTGAGATCTTAGCAAATGAGCCTCATGACTTCGAGGCTCATATAGTTTGGGTTTTTCCTTTCGCGCGAGTAAGCTTTTATTTTAATTTTAGCACTTGGCAATAGCACTTAGATTTATATACCCCTTCACAGTGATTTACAGCCCTCTTTAAGCAGTTTACAGAGTCAGCCTATTGGTTCCCAACAATCTGAGTCCTCATTTGGAAGGATGGAAGGCTGAGTCAGCCTTGAGCCGGTCAGGATCAAACTGCTGGCAGTGGGCAGAGTTAACCTACAATATTGCATTCTAACCACTGCGCCACGATAGCCCTTCCTCCCTCCCTCCCTCCCTCCCTCCCTCCCTCCCTCCCTCCCTCCCTTCCTTCCTTCCTTCCTTCCTTCCTTCCTTCCTTCCTTCCTTCCTATGGCTTTTATCTCACCTTTATTATTTCTTTTGACAGTGAACACACCTAACAGCCCTTCCTCCCCCCTATTTTCCCCACAACAACCACTCTGTGAAGTAGGTTGAGCTTGAGAGGGAATGACTGATCCAAAGTCACCCAGCCGGCTTTCATGCCTAAAACAAGACTAGAACTTCCAGTCTCCTGGTTATTGGCTCAAAGTCACCCAGCCCACTTTCATGCCTAAGGTGGGACTAGAACTCATCGTCTCCTGATGATTGGCCCAAAGTCGCCCAACTGGCTTTCATGGCTATGGTGGGACTAGAACTCCCTTTCTCCTGGTAACTGACCCGAAAGTCACCCAGCCGGCTTTCATGCCCAAGGCAAGACTAGAACTTCCAGTCTCCTGGTGATTGGCCCAAAGTCACCCAGCCCACTTTCATGGCTAAGGTGGGACTAGAATTCACCATCTCCTGTTTCCAGCCTGGTGCCTTCACCACTTCCACAGATTACCAGGAGGCTCGTGATCAATGAGGGAAGGGGGATCCCAGGAATCTTTCTGATGAGCAGCTGGAGAATTGCTCTCTTGACGTTCCCTCTTTTTCTTCGTCCTTCCCCAGCTGGTGAAATATTGGGAAGCTTTTCTCCCGGAAGCGAAGGCCATCTCCTAAGCAGGCTGGATCAGCCTTCCTCCTGAACTGGACTGCCTTCATCACTTAATACCTCTTGGCCTTGGATCCTACAGAGCTCTGATCCCCCTTTGACCAAGGAGCAGTTTCCCCAGCTAGTAACTCTTCTAACTGTATATTATTGTTATTTTTTCCATTTAGATTCATATATAAATATATATAAACACAAACAAACACACACACACACATATATATATATATTTTCCTATTGAAAAGAAACTCGCTTCCTGCTTACAAGCCAGGAGTAGGAGCGCAGGCAGGAATTGGCGCACGGTTTTCGGACTTCGGCGTTGAAGCCACGGATGTTTTCACTGACTTCGATGGTACAACGACAGCAAATGAAATAAAACTTAAAAATCAGGGCAAGGCCGGCTAACGCGTCTCTTTGTGTGTCTCTTCGTTGTGTGCATGGTGAGAGCTTGGTAGGAGCCACAGAGAGTCCTCGACTTAACAAACGTTCCTTTAGTGACCAAGGTTACAACAGCACTGGAAAAAAAGTGACTTGCAACCATTTATCACATTTATGACGATTATTGCAGAATTCCCCTGGTCAAAATTCGGACGATTGGCAGCTGGCTCATACTTAACGACAGTTGCCATGATCTCCTTTTTGCGACCTTCTGACAAGCAAAGTCAATGGGGTAGCCGGATTCGCTAAACAACGGTGTGACTAACTTAATTGCAGTGATTCACTTAACAACGGTGGCAAGGTCGTAAAATGGGATGAAACTCGCTTAACAACTGTTTTGCTGGCTGGGGAATTCTGGGAGTCGAAGTCCACAGGTCTTAAAAGTCATCAAGGTTGGATACTCCTGATTTAAACTAATCCCAATTATAATAAACGCTGCCTTCTCCTCCCTTGTGCCCTACCTAGACATGGCCTGTGGCTGCTTCTACTAATACCATTCTATAAAGCTTTAGTAAGACCACACCTAGAATCCTGCATCCAGTTTTGGTCACCACACTATAAAAAAGATGTAGCGGCTCTAGAAAGAGTGCAGAGAAGAGCAAGAAAGATGATTAGGGGACTGGAGGCTAAAACATATGAAGAACGGTTGCAGGAACTGGGCCTGGCTAGTCTAGTGAGGAGAAGGACCAGGGGAGACAGGATAGCAGCCTTCCAGTATTTGAGGGGCTGCCACAGAGAGGAAGGGGCCAAGCCAGTGGTGAAATCCAAATTTTTTTACTACTGGTTCTGTGGGTGTGGCTTGGTGGGTGTGGTGTGGCTTGGTGGGCACAGCTTGGTGGGCATGGCAGGGGAAGTATACTGCAAAATCTCCATTCCCTCCCCACTCCTGAGGGAAGGGTATTGCAAAACCTCCATTCCCACCCCACTCGGGGGGCCAGCCAGAGGTGGTATTTGCCGGTTCTCTGAACTGCTTAAAATTTCAGCTACCGGTTCTCCAGAACCCGTCAGAACCTGCTGGATTTCACCCCCGGGCCAAGCTATTTTCCAAAGCACCCGAAGGCCAGACAAGGAATAATGGATGGAAACTGACCAAGGAGAGATTCAACCTGGAAATAAGGAGAAATTTTCTGACAGCGGGAACAATCAACTGATGGAACAGAAGTTGCCTTCAGAAGTAGTGGGAGCTTCATCACTGGAGACTTTCAAGAAGAGACTGGACTGCCATCTGTCATTAATGGTGTAGGATCTCCTGCTTGGGCTGGGAGGGGGGTTGGACTAGATGACCTCTAAGGTCCCTTCGAACTCTGTTATTCTATATTCAATGGAACAGACGTTGCCTTCAGAAGTGGCGGGAGCTTCATCACTGGAGACTTTCAAGAAGAGACTGGACTGCCATCTGTCATTAATGGTGTAGGATCTCCTGCTTGGGCGGGGAGGGGGGTTGGACTAGATGACCTCCAAGGTCCCTTCGAACTCTGTTATTCTATATTCAATGGAACAGACGTTGCCTTCAGAAGTGGCGGGAGCTTCATCACTGGAGACTTTCAAGAAGAGACTGGACTGCCATCTGTCATTAATGGTGTAGGATCTCCTGCTTGGGCTGGGAGGGGGGTTGGACTAGATGACCTCCAAGGTCCCCTCGAACTCTGTTATTCTATATTCAGTGAAACAGAAGTTGCCTTCAGAAGTGGTGGGAGCTTCATCACTTGAGACTTTCAAGAAGAGACTGGACTGCCGTCTGTCAGAAACGGTGTAGGGTCTCCTGCTTGGGCGGGGAGGGGGGGTTGGACTAGATGACCTCTAAGGTCCCTTCCTGTTCATCTACCATCTAAACGGCCTTCCCGGGGCTGCCCCTTCCGAGCCGGGCTGAGCTGCTGCCGGGCAGAGCCTGGATGGGGCGGAGCGGGGCGGGCGGAGCGAGGGGGCTAAGCGGAGCGAGGAGCCGGGCTGGCCGACAAGCGCTGCGAGATGCTGAAGCTGGAGGTGGCGGTGAGCGCGGTGAGGCTGCAGCGGAGCCCCAGCAAGGCTCACACGGTGCGTGTCCCGGGCGGCGGGGGAAGGGGAAGCTCGGGAGGCTGGGAAAAGGGCTCCGTTGTCCCGGGTTGGGCCGGCCGGAGTTCAACAGGGAGAGCCAAGAGAAGAAAACCAGGCGGGCTGCAGCCTGAATCCTTCCCTTGCAGTGCTGGGTTCGGAAGAGAGGGAAGGGAAAGAAATGGGGGCATTGCATCCACTTCTGAACTTTGCCTGGGGGGGGTCCATACTCCTATGTAACACACACACACAAAAACACACACACAAAAAAAAAAAACCAGACACACAACACAACACAACACAACACAACACAACACAGTCTTTTAAAGGCAAATGTTTTTCTTTAGGAATGAGGTTTTCTCCAACTGTGTTTCCTTCCTCCTCCGCTGGACCGAATTCCTAGTTAGCAGCATTTCCGTGTGTGTGTGTGTGTGTGTGTGTGTGTGTGTGTGTGTGTGTGTGTAAGCATGCCATGCCCCCCCCCCTGGGGAAACACCCCCCAGGTCCTGGGTGCAGAAGGTGCCATGCAACGCACCCGAGAGATCCAGGCGTGAGGATTGGGCCCTCCGCTTAAATCAGGGGAAGGGCATCGGGGAGCTTCCAAGACACGTCTGGAGGAAAGCAAACATTTTCCTGGCACACGGACACTGGCGCACTGTTTGTGCAATTCGGGCAGGAGCCCGGGCGAAGGGAAATTCTTCCTTGGAATCAATAAACGGCCATTCAGGCCTGCATTTATTTTATTTTATTTTATTTATTTGTTGCTCTTTCTGGAAAAGCTGGCCAGGAAAGCACCTGCCTAAGGGCAGAACAGTTAGTCCTTTGTGCCACTGGCAGCCACAAAGTCACACAGAGCGGGGAATTGGTCTGAAATGCCTCTGGAAATCCGAGAGAGAATCCCTCCTGCCCGCTGAGCTTGTGTGAGTCAGTTTCCTGCCTCCGGGGGTCCAGCCAGGATTAAAGCAGACCCTCAGTGGGCCTGGAGAACATTTGAAGGACTCCTTGTCTCTTGCTGAATTCAGGATATTGTGTGTGAATGCAAACTTTCCCCCTCCGGGGCTTTGCGGTTCTTCCGTGCCTTTAAGCAAAAGGGGTCGAGAGGCCTACCGTTGCCATTTGGAGGAACCTGTTTTAATTTTTCTCCAAGGTAAATTTGTGTATTGGGGCGGTGCCCTTCGGTAAAGAGCTCCACATCCGAAGAAGGAGATGATAGGAAGCCAGCCAGCGAGCGAGTGGATCTTTAAATGATCCACTCCTTTGGGAAACACTGCAGTAGCTTTTCAAGTGTCCTGAAAGAAGGGTGGGGAGTTTTTTTCCCCCTAACCCTAACATCTCTGGATTGAAGGCGCCAGCTATCTTTTTGGTCATGTTGGCTTCCCCAATTAATGTTGGCACCTTTTCAAAGGAGGTTTCTGGACCTCGTAGGAGAAGGCCGACTTGAGTTACAGATCAAGGGAGAGGGGCTGCTGAACTCCTAGTTTTACATTGATCTAGAGAGTGGGCTTTTGGACAGTTGGCTGGGCACCTTGTCTTATTTCCCGTGAGCTCAACTAGAATGCCTCGGGAAAATTCCATAAATTAGGAAGGAAAACAATGGGGGAACTTGGATTGAAAAACAGTATGTTTTTGATAACAGAGAGCCCCTTTGGGACAGTTGTTAAAGGCACAGGCTAGAAACCAGGAGACGGTGAGTTTTAGTCCCATCTTAGTGACAAAGCCAGACTTCGAGCCAATCACCAGGAGCCTGGGAGTTCTAGTTCCTCATTAGCCATGAAAAGGGCCTTGGACCAATCATCAGGAAACGGTGAGTTCTAGTCCTGTCTTAGGCATGAAAGCCAGGTGGGCGACCTCAGGCCAGTCACTTTCTCACAACCCTAGTAAAAAGAAAGCAAGGACCAATCACTTCTAAAAAGCAGAATGGAGACACACCCAAACACACAAAAGTATCAGGTGCGGTCACTCTGTATGGAGACACACATAGACTTTGGGAGAAATGGGAGCTGCCCAGGAAGTGTTTCTCACCAACTTATCAAATGCATTTCCAAGCCAAAGATAGAGCAGCTTCTGATTTCCGGGCAGCCTCTGCTGATCCCTCCCATTTCGCTCCTTTGCTTTGACTCCGAGCCTCCCTCGAACTGCTCTCTACGTTGTAAAAGCTGGGATGGGAATCAAATGTATTCTTTCATTCAGTGCTGAAAAGCTTCTCCTTCTCAACCTGGTCTGTCCTTTCTTTTTCTTTTTCTTTCTTTCTTTCTTTCTTTCTTTCTTTCTTTTTTTAAATTTGATTTATATGCCGCCCTTCTCCGGAGACTCAGGGCGGCTTACAATGCACTAAGCAATAGCCTTCATACTTTTGTATATTTATACAAAGTCAGCTTATTGCCCCCACAACTGGGTCCTCAATTTACCTACCTTAGAAAGGATGGAAGGCTGAGTCACCCTTGAGCCTGGCGAGATTCGAACCTGCAGTAATTGCAGGCAGCTGGTCTTAATAACAGGGTGCTTTAGACCACTATACTACCAAGGCTCTTTCTTTCTTTCTCTTTCTTTTTCTCTTTCACTTTCTTTCTTCCCCTCTTTCTTTCTTTCTCTTTCTTTCTTTCTCCCTTCCTTCCTTTCTTCTCTCTCTCCCTCTCTCTCTAGCCATGACATCTGGAATGCAGCAGCTTGCAGGAGGGTCTTCTGAAACTATCTAGATTGCAGGTGGTCAGCAGAATCTGACCCCCCCTCCCCTTTTCTGGGTGCCATTGCAGGTATTCAAAGTGGAGATCGTGTGTAATGGAAGGAAGCATTGCGTGGAGAAGCGCTACAGCGAGTTTTACGCACTTCATAAAAGGGTGAGTAAAGGGGACGATCCTTCTCCGGCCGAGCTTTCGGATTTTGGGCATCAGCCCAAGAGTGGTCGGTTAGTTGTTTGCTTTAGGAATCCCCCTTCCCCCCCACCGCAATGTTCTAATTTAGCCAGAACCCTGGGATTTCATAGTGGTCTCCTTTCCAGACAAGAACTGTATCCGAGAAGGCCTTCTTTCAGCTTCCGGAGATCAGCTAAAGCTATGTGCTGCCACCTGCTGGAGACTAGTGAGAGGTGCTCCTGGGAGGAGAGCAGCAATGCAATAAAAGCCCCGTGTCCTCTTTCCTCTCCTTAGATCAAGAGGAGCTACCAGGTTCCTGATTTCCCACCCAAGAGGGTCCCCAAATGGATGGTGAAAGTTCTGCAGCAACGGCGGGCAGGCCTAGAAGCTTACCTGCAGGTGAGGAAAAGCCTGGGGTGGGAGATGGTTATTCCTTGCTACAGCCCACCACTCCCGTTTGCTTCCTCTTTCTATATTCCTCAGGGAGGGTTTACTACCTGTTGCATTTCCTACAGGGTGTCATCTTGCAAAACCAAACCCTTCCCAAGGAGCTGCTCCATTTTTTGAAGCTCTGGCAGGGCCAGCAGGAGACTCATTTGGCGTGAGTATCCCTTCAGGAGTGGAAACAGAAGGGAGAACCAGTAGATCCGTGATGGTGAACCTATGGCACGCGTGGCACAGGTGGCACGCGTAGCCATATCGGTGGGCCCGCGAGCTCAGCTCCGGCATGCGCATCTGATTTTTGGGCCTTCTGGGCTCACCAGAAGTAGAGAAACAGGTTGTTTCCTGCCTCCGGAGGACGTCGGGGCTCAAACCCCACTCCTTTCGAGCACTGATAATGTTACCTAGTTGGGTAATGAAACGTCTGCAAGAAAACCACCAAGCTCAGAGAGCACCGAGGACTCCAGAGCTACAAATATTCTTTTATTGAAGATCCTTCCTTTGGTTTCTTTCTCAACAGATGGGATGAGAATTCTTCCTTGCACGACTTCAGGCAAGTTGTTTTCTGATTTTTAAGGGGAGGGGTTGGAGGGGCACCCCAATCTTTTGCTGGCGAGAGGGATCCAAGTACTAGTTTGACCTCACTGTTTATTCCAGTATCTGCCAACTTTTTATCATCAACATCTTTTAACGACTCCATAATCCCTTGCGGGACAGAGTCTGGGCCACTGAATGGAGGTACCAGAGAGTTTAATGGCCGGATGCCTTTCCTGTCGCCAATGCGGAGTTTTATTCAGCAGATCTATTCTCATTGTGCCCAGAGAGAGAAATATCTGCCTCTACCTAGGATCGAACTCACAGCCTCCTGATTGTGAGGCGAGAGCTCCACCTCTAGGCCACCGCACTACTCCATTTGCCAACCTTCTGTGTTCCAGAGATATTGGAGGGGGTTGGACTAGAAGACCCCCAAGGTCCCTTCCAACACCGTTATTCTATTATTCTTCCCACTCTCTTGATACGAAGCATAAAAACTTAAAAAACTTGCTTGCTGGCTAGTTTGCTTCTCATCCCCTTTATTCTTATAGAAAGGAAGATGCCCATCAAGTCCAGTGACAACCATTTGACTAGAATGGTATAAGGTCTAGCTTGAGCAGGGGGTTGGACTAGAAGACCTCATAAGGTCCCTCCCAACTGTGTTATTCTGTTACTCTTTGCCCTAATCCTGCTTGTTCTAATACACAAGGTGGCACTTTCTCCCTCTCAAACAGCCCCTGTGACCAGCTCTCTCACCGGCCTGGCGTAAATTTCCACAGCGATCCGTATGTGCTCCCCTCTTCCACAGGTAAGTCTTGAAGAAGCTACCTTGCCAGAGGTTTTATTTTGGTGTGTGTGTTTGAGAGAGAGAGGAAGAGGAAGAGGAATACCAGTTAGCACCTTTGGGACAATTGTGACTTGGATGACTGAGAATCTCCATAGACATAAAGCTGAGAAAATTCAGATTGAGAGGCGGGGACTTTCATGGGCAGCCTGTTAACTAGGGGTGAAATTCAGCAGGTTCTGGAGAACCGGTAGCGGAAATTTTGAGTAGTTTGGAGAACCGGCAAATACCACCTCTCGCTGGCCCCAGAGTGGGGACGGAATGGTGATTTTGCAGTATCCTTCCCCCAGGAGTGGAATGGGAATGGGGATTTTGCAGTATCCTTCCCCCAGGAGTGGGATGGGAATGTGGATTTTGCAATATCCTTCCCTTGGAGTGGGGAGGGAATGGGGATTTTGCAGTATCCTTCCCCCAGGAGTGGGATGGGAATGGGGATTTTGCAGTATCCTTCCCCCAGGAGTGGGATGGGAATGGAGATTTTGCAATACCCTCCCCCAGGAATGGGATGGGAATGGAGATTTTGCAATACCCTCCCCCTGGAGTGGGAATGGAGATTTTGCAGTATCCTTCCCCTGCCACGCCCTCCAAGTCACACCACGTCCACCAAGCCATGCCCACAGAACCAATAGTAAAAAAAAATTTGAATTCCACCACTGTTGTTAACCAATGTCCCTCCCCATCCTTGTGAAAAGGGGAAACGGACCTGTTAAAATTGTCCTACTTCCACACAATCCCCCAGAATCTTATTTTCATTTTGGAACTGGCGCCTTAAGCTACTTCAGCAAGGGGATTCCAAGGCCACCTGCTGTCTTTTACGGCTTCTGTGGCGGTTATCAATATTCTTCTGCTTTTATGTCCGACTTTCTTGTCTCGGCTGGGAGGCCCACAATAGAGCTTGCCTGTGGTCGGCAGCCGCCACATCAAAATCACTTTTTGCTTTCTCAACCGCAAACAGCGAGGACCTCTTCACGGGCTCTTTTTCGAGAAAGTGCAAAACAGCTTACAGTTCTTCTTCCTCTTTTTATCCAAGATTTGCTTCCGAATATCATCCTGAGCGGCGTCCTCCAGGGTCTCTACGCCCAAGACCTACCCTCTCCCTGGAAGCAAAGCTCTTAACCGAGTGAGAGATGCAAAGGACAATGGCAGTGGCCCATGGGGCTTGTCGTCTGCTCCTTTCTTCCTTGCCTAGGGTTGTCATGGAGAGGCCTGCTTTGCAACGGTGTGCCTGGAGAGAGGAGCACGTAAAAAGCAGAGGGACGGAGGGCATGACATCCTGGCTGCAGAAACATCCACCTGAGTTTCACCCAGCGGAGGGGGAAAAAAAATCCATACGAGTAGATCCTAGGTTTGTTGAGTAGGGTATCAAATTAAATGCACTGTGGTTTATTCCGACTGCATTTCTTCTGGAGAAGAATTCAGCCTTTGGAAAATCTCATTAGGCCTGATGTAGGAGAGGCTACAAGCACTTTTAAAGATGCACGGAGTTCACTCCCACCGCATTCGTATCAATTCGAATCCTGTTCAGTCTTAGCAAAGGGGGAAATCTGTTGTCCTTTGTGGCTTCAATTTTTCCCCCCCCTTCTTCACCAGAGTTAGCTAGCTAAAACTCCAAGGCTGGCACCGAGATGGGTCAAAAGCACCTTAACGTGACAAGAGGAAGTCGGGTGTATTTTTGTTTTAAGGCTGGGAATTCCTCCCAACAATTGAAAACTGGATAGCTTTCCAAATGGGTGGATTACGTTCCACGTTCCTAGCAAGGCTGGGGAAACTTGGAGCTGTGATCCATCACCCTGTGCAGCGTTTTCTCAACTTCGGGAACTTGAGGATGGGTACAAGAGTCGCGGTGGCGCAGTGGTTAGGTGCAGTATTGCAGGCTAATTCCGCTGACTGCCAGCTGCCAGCAGTTCGATCCTGACCAGCTCAAGGTTGACTCAGCCTTCCATCTTTTCGAGGTGGGTAAAATGAGGACCCAGATTGTTGGGGACAAGAGGCTGATTCTGTAAACCTGGAAACTCTAGAAACCACTGTAAAGCGGTATATAAGTCTTATTGCTAGTGCTATTGCTACACTTCACCTCCCAGGAGTTACGAATTCTGGAAGTTCAAATTTACCCCATTAAAACTGCTGAGCTTGAGAAACCCTGATCCGGTGGGCTATCGTGGTTAAGACTAGTTCCCCAAAACCAACTCTTCTCAAAGCTCTTCATACTACGAAGGATGCCATTTTCCACTAGGATGCCCAGACTCCGTTTCCAAAATTAGAGGTTACTACTACAATTTTACCCTCTTCTGCTCATCAAAAGGCAACTGTGGGGACCTCCCACCCCTCGAACTGGGCTTACAGCACGTGCTAAAACCATGTTTGGTGGCACCAACTACAATGGACTTGAGTTCTCCTGTCCCGGTGGTGGGAGGAGGACAAAGGCAAGGCAGACGTTCTACAAAAAAAAAAAATAACACAATGGTCATGTTTATTGGTCCATGTGCTTTTTTACAAAAAGAGTGAGACGAAGCAACACTCCTGGGACACTTCCCCCCTCCCCCCCGCGCGGAAGGGGCCTCGTCGCCCACCAAGGCCGATGATGGAAGAGGAAGAGTTGAGCTGCGGTTGCAGAAATGGGAGGCCCCACCAGCCAGCGTTGGAGGGGAGGCAGAGAGCAGTGGGTGCTCAACAGCTGGAGGAGGATGAGGAGGATGAATTTGAGGCCCCAGGAAGAGCGTAGGACCTTCAGCCCTTTTCCAGACCAGAACCTGGCCCTCCAGCAGCCCCCGATTATTCTTTGGCAATGGCGAATGGTTTCTCCACCTCAATGACATTGCAGTCCGCAATGGTGACATCTTTCAGGGGTTTGTCGCGACTGTCTGTCTTGGTGCTTTCCACCTTCCGGACAACATCCTAGGAAAGAGGTAGTAACAAAGTCCTGAGATGATGACCCCCGTCTTACCATGGAGGACATCGTTCTCAGCTACGTTCTGGCCTCCACCATCTCAAGTTCTAATGGTCCCTGCTGCAGCTTGAAGGATCAGTTGAGGGTCCAGGAAGATGGTGTCATAGTGTATGGGAAGGACCTTGGGAGGGGGAGGGAAGAGATGCTGCCTAGAGAATGGTCATATAAGAGGAGGGAGAGCCCAAAGCTGCATAACAGGCCAAGAAAGCATCCTCCCTAACTTATCAGAGCCCTGATAGTGCAGTGGTTACAATGCAGTACTGCAGGCCACTTCTGCTGACTGCCAGCAGTTCGAGTCTCCCTAGCTCAAGGTATAACTCTAAGTGCTATTGATAGAGCGTGCCCTTCCTCCCTCCCTCCCTCTCCTTCCCTCCCAGTGGTTAGAATGCAGTATTGCAGGCTAACTCTACCCACAGTCAGGAGTTTGAGCCTCCCCAGACTAAAGTTTGACTCAGCCTTCCATCTTTCCGAGGTCAGTCAAATGAGGACCCAGACTGTTGGGGGCAAGAGACTGACTCTGTAAACTGCTTAGAGAGTGCTGTAAAAGCACTGTGAAGCGGTATATAAATCTTAAGTGCTATTGCTATCAGGCTGTAAAAATAGAAGGCAAGAGATTTGTACTTTCAGATTTGCAAGGTTCTATTCATTAGTCTGACAAATAAAAGTAAAATTAGCTCATCTGGTCATGATTCCTGTCTGGTCTAGTTGAGAAGGATGATGATGAGTGGGCACCTCTAAAACTTTAATTTTTATTTAGGACAAGGCAGAGAAACCCGGGGGTTTTGAGATATTATTAAACTCCAACTGTAAATAGGCTTGGCCAGCAGTGTTGCAAGTTTATTTCAACAACGCCTGGTGGTAATGTTGCCAAATCCAGCTTTAGCTCATCAGAACCTCAATATAGACGAGATCTAGGTTTTCGAGATCCCAAGATAGCCCCAAGCTGAAAATGAAGACGGTTGTTAAAAAACAGTTGATCAAAAAAAGACACATCGGAAATCTGCTTGGCGAGACAAGAATGGGAAGAATCACATAGCCAGACCACCAATGGACTGATAAATGCGATCTCCAGTCACAACCAACTTTTTAACAACGATGCAAGCTTTTTTTTAAAAAAAGGAAGTCGGAAGTACCGTTATGGTACATCCTCCAAATTTCTTGTTCTATGACTCAACAAGACACTCAAGTAGAGCAGAGGTCTTCAAACTTGGCAGCTTTTAAGACTTGTGGACTTCAACTCCCAGAATTCTGGGAGTTGAAATCCACAAGTTTTATTTTATTTCTTTTGAAAAAAAGTTTTGTTTTTAAACAAAACATAAATCCATCATCCATTACAATTGCAAACAGTGTGTCGGTCGGTTACAAATCTTTTGCGCTTCATCCCCATATGCAGAATTTACTAATCCACAAGTTTTAAAGCTGCCAAGTTTGGGGACCCCTGAAATAGAGGAAGTTATAGTAATAGTCAAATGTAGCTCTTCTTATTTTGAACCCTTGAATCTGGAACAGCGTTTCTCGCTCTGATCCGCTTTTAGAAATGTGGATTTCAACTCCCAGAATTCCCCAGCCAGCATAGCTGGGAGTTGGAAGTCCACCCAACGTAAAGTTGAGAAACACAGGTCGATACGCTGAATAAGACGAACTCTCACCCAGCCCAACCGGAGTCCTACTCACCATCCCTTCCAGAACTTTGCCAAAGACAACATGCTTTCCATCCAGCCATGAAGTCTTGACAGTAGTGATGAAGAACTGAGACCCGTTGGTGTCCTTGCCGGCGTTGGCCATGCTTACCCATCCCGGCCCGTAGTGCTTCAACTTGAAGTTCTCATCTGGGAAACGGTCTCCGTAAATGCTCTTCCCTGGCAAAAGATGAGCAAAGGAAAGACGTAATGCTATCCAAAATAGAGGTTTTTTTTCCAGTTTTGTGTTTCCACAAAATCCTACACCAAGCTTCACCTGTCCATGATATACTGTTCTGCCCCAGCTACGCACCTCAAAGAACGCAGCACACACGAAGTCTGTACAAACCTTAGTTTACTAAATTAAATCAGTCTTTTTCAAACAAAGGCTGTTAATTAACTTTCTTAACAGCCTACAAGAATCCAAAGAATAAATAATCGTAATCTTACTATGGTTGGCAGAAAGCCCAGAAGCAATTTGCAGAGAACTAAGATCAAGATGCGCAGGAGAGTGAACGAAGTTGTTCCCTGCAAATTGCCTCAGTCGTCATCCTTCCTTAAATAGGCTAAGGGAATGGCCAATTAGCCCCAAGCCTTACTCTCGAGGAGACCTCCTTCTGAGGAGCCACTCCTGCCTTTTGGCCACTCTGCGTGCCCGTGCATCGAGAAGAGGCTCCTCCTCTTCTTCCTCTTCACTTATGGAAGCTTCTGGAGGTTCTGAAGGCCCTGGCTGAATCCCCGCCTCTGGCACCACATCTTCTCCAGCCTCCTCATTGTCCGACTCCAGTGCCAGCTGCACAGGCTGCTGGCGCAGCACCACACCAGCCTCCTCGCTGTCGGAATCAGTTACTAGCGGCACAGGCCGCTGACGGGCCACAACATATACCAAATCAGTAGGTTCAACATGCCGATCTATAATTGAGCACTCTTTGGCTGGATCCACCCTTCACTCTGCATCAAATAAACCGTATTATGGCTCAAAGGACTGTGTGAACTCAATCATCTTTTTCTCTTGCTTTCATAACTGGTGTGTATGTGTGTGAGAGAGAGAGAGAGAGAGAGAACTTTTGTTACCTTGACTCTCGTCCTGAAGGACAGGATTGAAAAGATAGCAATTAAAACTACACATGGAGATCAACCCACTCAAGTGGACATGGTACTTTAGGGGAAAGCAACTCACGATGGCAGAGGTGCCCAAGAATTAAAGATGGCGCCCTCGGATGTGAATGGGAGCCTGGGAGTTGTAGTTTCTATGCTCTGGAGCAGGCACAAGTAGTTCTCCACTTATCGGAGCCTGCCAGATATAGCTGTATATTGTGAGAATTGGAAAGCGGATCATTCATTTAACAGACCCAATTATACAGCACAGGTTGTTAACTATCATCACTAATCAAACCTATTGCTTAAGAGCCATGGGGGAGTAGTAGTTACTACTTCTGCCAGCTGCCAGCAGTTCAAATCTCACCAGGCTCAAGGTTGACTCAGCCTTCCATCCTTCCCGAGGTGGGTAAAATGAGGACCCAGATTGTTGGGGGCAAGAGGTTGACTCTGTAAACCGCTTAGGGAAGGCTGTAAAAGCACTGTGAAGCGGCATATGGGTCTAAGTGCTATTGCTATTTTCCCTCCTTCCTTCCATTCATCCATGGTGCGCAGTGGTTAGAATGCAGCATTGCAGGCTAACTCTGCCCACTGCCAGGAGTTTGATCCTGACCAGCTCAAGGTTGACTCGGCCTTCCATCCTTCCGAGGTGGGTAAAATGA